AGCTCGAGCACGGCGTTGCCTGGAGATAAGAGGGTAACGGGGTCAGTTGGAGTCTAATTTAACACCCTGGCTAATGTCAGCAATCATTACAAACAGCGTCTGCCCCTGGATTAAAGTGATCATCAGCCATGGCTATCACCTGAGCACGCGAAGTGGGTGGCACGGGGCTTCACCACGAGCCCCTCAACATGGGACCACTCTTAAATAAAATAGTTTAATCTGGAATAGAGATTTTAACATATAATTCCATATGTTGCAGTTTCACTTTTGTCAATATTTATGTCTTGGAACAAATTGGCATGAAAACAGCAGAGCTTTCAGTGAAATTTGCTAAATGACATTTTATATCTCTCAAAACATTATTTTTAATTTAAGCAAACCAATGTTTTTGACTCATTTAACAAGGCCTTCTTACTTAGATTAAGCCTACATGGCCTGATTTACATTTGAAGTATGTCATGCTTTGCTACACGTCCTGTTTATTCTGATCATGCTAAAATGGGAAACGTGTGCAAAATGAAAACATCACTAACATAACCCAGTGTGCAAACCTTTAATCGCGTTTTATGATAGATTATTAGCAAAACTGCAATGTTACATATTTGTAGCTGAATGTTTATGATATAATTTGTACCCAAACTACAAATTATGTAGCCACATTTTATGTAGACATAAAACTAGTCTTATTTCTGATACTGTGAATGTATGACAGCTGTTTTCGCCATAAGGTACTAGACAGGTGGCTTCCTGAAGAGCTTCCAAATATCCCCTAACCTACATTTTCTCTTACCGTCTATAAAGCATAATATCCACAGCAGGGCAGTGATCGCTGCCAACGAAGTCCACCAATCCATGTGGTCTCCCCCCTGTCCTGGACTCGTCAACGAAAGGAAAGAGAGCAGCTACAGTCCCCAAGTTATGATCTGGCCAAGCCCTGCCCTGCCTTTACGCAGCTAATACCCAAACATTAAGTAGTCGCATTCTCCGCAGGAGCCTTGCAGCCTGTGCGCAACATGTTGAAGGTGCACCTGTCCACGAGCGCATTAGGAACAAGTTAAAACAACTTACTGCACCTTATAGTGTCGCACAGAAAATGGCACTCCTTTACTACCATTTTTGCAATTAGGAATGTCTTTAAACATTAACAACAGAGTAAACCTAAAAAAGTATATTAATTTCCCTCGGCCTAGTCCCATATCATTGGTTTACCCAGGCTGGATAAACAGTCTGCCTCCAAGTTTGTCTAGACACCTGTAAGTGCCAGGAGACATCACCTTGCCTAAAATAGCTATCTGTGACTATTTTAATGAAGAAAAACATCAACAATGATTATTGGAGTTATAAAGTGGGGTGTATTGGAAATGGCATGTTTCTTTACACTTTTTAAGAACATTTTTAAATGTAACATTTTTGTATTTTCTTAAGGCTACCATATTGAGAAAAATTTATTGCAATACATTTTCAAATAAAAATGGAAATTTGTATTAAACAATGATTTTAAAATATAATGAAAACATAAATGAATAATAATAATAATAATAGAGCAAAAGTAGTAGCCTATTAATTAAATTAAAAATAACATATACATGAATAAGACGTAGCCTAAATAAGTTCACAATTTCAAGACGTACTGTATGCACACTGACACAGACAATATTTCTGTTTGCCGAAATATGTAATTATTTTTCACACAGAACATGTTCATATTAAACTAAGGAAGTTATGGTGTATCAGAAGCTTGTCTCGCGCTGAACGCCGCATGCGTCTTTGCTCGCTTGTGAGACGGTGTCATGGCAACGTAAACACCTTAAGACGGCAGGACAACTGAAGGAGGCCTCTCCTCTTCCCCTCCTTTCCTCTCCTCTTCCTCTCCGCGAGTCACCGCCTCTGTTGGAGCCAGTCTCAGGGGACAGCAAAGGTTAGCAGGGTACACTTTTTAAAATGTTACAACGTGTGTTTTATATGTAGAGTCTGCCGTCTACTCTTGTGCCCACTTTTCAGGGGCGCTGAGGGAGGTCGCGACTTACGTTACTTAGCGACCCTATGAACTTTTTTTTAATGATGTATTAAAATATTGTCCGTGGAACAGCAGTGTTTTCTTAATTTTTCACTAATTCTGCCGTTTTTTCTCACGAACGTCTGACCAAAACGTCCTCACTACAACACAGGTAAGAACACTTATACCATTACCATGTCATTCATATTCAATGTTACTGCTTGAATAATATTTTGAGCATGCACACTGACTGTAGATTCAGGTCCTCCAGAGCTCGAAAGTAACAATTAAGTATATTTACTCAAATACTGTACTTAAGTACATTTTTAATATACATGTACTTTACTTGAGTATTTCCATATATGCTACTTCTAGTCATTTTTGATACAATTTAACTAATGTATTATGATTGATTATTATGGATGGCAGTTTAAAAAAAGTAATTCAGGTTCTCTCCACCTTCACCAGCTGCCAAATGTTGAACACGTTAATAGATAACTAATTATAATCCAGTGATATAATATATATTATTCTGAAAATGGCCACTTGGGATTGAGTACTTAAGTACATTTTGCTGCCAATACTTACTGAAGTAACATTTATTTTAAATGGAGGATTTTTTCTTGTAACAGAGTATTTCTACACTGTGCATGGTTGTATTACTTTAACTTAAGTATAACATCTGAGCACTTCCACCTCTGGTCAGACCTAAAAGCAGGTTGTCACCGATGGCTTAACTTTTCTCATGATTTAGAGATGAGCACAAAGAAGAAGAACACCCCCAGTGGTGTGATCACCTTCCACACACATTCTCCTGTCGGCCTGCTGAAATCAGAGGAAAAAAACGTTCATGCCAACTCATAATGTATCACTGATCTTTAAATGTCAGGAAGGCTATACCTACAGTAGATATAGTGCAGGGGGTACAATACTTTTCAATGTTCTCCTTCCATCTGTTCATATCTGAATGTACAATGCTGGAGTCTCAGTGTCCTTGGAAAGATGAATGGAAAGGTTTCAGGTTATTGACAGATAGTTGCTGTAGCCACTGTTATCCTCTCTTGACTCAGGATAATAGAAAAAAGGACCTGTGGAGGGGTCAGGTGACATGCAGCTGAACAAACTAGCCGAGCATGCAAATGGTTGTTACAGACAGACAACAGAAAGCACAGCAGGAGGGAAGCTGCCATTGATGTTTCAGTTGATACAAAACAAATCCTCATAGTGCACAGACATGTGTCCCAGCGTGGTGTTCACGTAACAGTGAGCTGCAGCTCAGGTTTCCAGCTGGTGACGTGATCTGTCAGAGCCTTTTGTGTCGCCTCTGTTCATCTACAGGAGTGTGTCTGGTCTGTCAGTGAACTCAGGCCGGGATTTCTCAGTATATCCTTTCTGATACGCCAATATGTTTCCCTGTAATTCTAGAGCGATGTATATTTATTTTATTAATTATTTAAATTCCCTTTGTTCACCTGGCTTGAACAAGGTGATGTGAGACTGTATTTATATATATAGTTTTGATGTAATACTATCTTTATGTCCATACTTATATTAAAAAAATCGTTTTTCACTAGTAGCCGTTTTGTTGGTGAGGGGGTTATTTGTTGTTCAATAATTCTAAATAACTAATAAATGTGGATATTTTATATGTTGAGAAGCCAATAAATACAGTAAAAAATTACTTATTGTCCACATGAAGCATGCTGCAATTTAAGTTTATCAGCATTTTATTATAATTCCGGTATGCTATGCTGTTATTTGACATGTGTTCCTACTGTATAAATGCTGGTATTTGCTATTTAAAACAAAAGCCAAGGATACTCTGCAAACAGCATGTTGTGTTTATTAAGGACAGTTACAGAATTGACCCTATGGTGTTTCAGGAGCGCATGGTGGATGTTAAGGGCACAACAGAGAGCCGAAAGACGCCCATGCAGCCAAGCATGAGGATGAGGAGCCCCGGTGAATGTGTGAGAGCAGAGGAAAGCGAGGAGGCCTCACCCTCTGGTTCAAAGCTGGAGGGCCAAAAGGGATGGCTCTCTCACACCTCCCTCAGACGACTGCAGGTATTGCACACATCCAAACTCAAACCTGCACAAAGAGAGGGTGAATTTTCCAATGCATGCTTTACTTTTTAGGGAAATATGGAGGCTGAAAATCAACAGGTGAAGGAAATAACCCAACCATTACTGGATACAGAAAATGGTTTTGTGAAGGTAAGATGCTGGAGCACAATTTTTTTGTCTTAATTTACAGTTTCTGTATTCAAAACATGCAGCTTTTACAACTTTAAATCATCATTGTGTCACAAAAAAGGCCTTGAATCTTTAATGATGTACCTGTACCTCCCACTTTGGTTTAAACATGTCTTCATTTAGGAGTTGGAGAAGTTTCTGATCAGACGGGACTTCACAGAGCTGAGGAGGAGGGAGCTGCTTCACAAGCGCTGGACTGAGCGTGTGTGGTTTCCCCTGCAGAGGAGGGTGGAGGAACACGTGTCCAGCTGTGGCCCCGCGGTGTGCAAAAGCCGCCAGAGCCTCTACAGTCACTTCCTCCATCACTGCAACACAAAGGTGATGCTCACCTCTGGAAAGAGCTTTGGTCTTGTTGTCATTTAGGGGTTTTAAAGGTCCCCTATTATACTCTTTTTCATCAATATATTATAGTTCTCAGTTATATACAAAACAGGTCTCTGAAGTGTTTGGCTCGAAATACCAAACTGATCATGCATTGTAGCATCCCATAATCCCCTCTGTTTCAGCCCTGTTTCAAAAGTGCTGATTCTCTGTCTGTTACTTTAGATGAAAATAAGGAGCCACTCCCCAGCTCATTTTCAGACAGGTTTTTATACCAGAACAAAAAGAGAACAAATCTTTTTTCCTGAAACTTTCAGAATCTCTTTACACAGAGGGGACACATGTTTATGTATAAAAGACATGAAAAAGTGAATTTTGCATAATAGGTGACCTTTAAATGATGCATAAGACTTCACACACATGCTCCTTTGGTGTTTGTGCTTTCACTACAAAAACACACAAAAGACTATCTAACTAATGTCTTTCATTTTCAGGGCTTTGTGTTTCTAGAACATTATGATCTAAAGGAATACGATCCGTTTCTTCTCCACATCAAAAAGCCACGCTACCTCAAGGTGAAGGTGATATTTTGTGACTGAAATGTTTTGCTAAATATATATTAAAGCAACTTTTGACACACTGAAGAACTGCAAATGCTACTGATGAAGTATTCTCTGATTTATCCACAGCTCGGTACGGCAGACTTAAAGAGAACAGCCTCTTCTTGTGAAGCAGGTATTTTTCTTCTTTGAACCAAAAGGAAATTGAAGGCTTATACGAGTGCTTTGCTTTAAGTTTGAGCTGAGATATCCAGAGTGGAATTATGTCCACAAGTTGGGGAAAGTGAGACTATATAACTTTTAAAAGAGGAAATAACACATTGTCCCTGTTGCATTAATAAGTAGTTGAAAGCACCCTTTCTTAACTTCATACACTTTTGTTGCTACAGCCTCACTTTGAACAGTAGCTTATTGCGGCCACTTTTCCTTTTGCTTTAGGATCTAGATACACAAGGAGACAAGTAGAGAAGCTACCTCAGAGCAACATCCTGCTACAGGCCTTTTCACATCATCCAGTCACAAGCCAGAAGCACTCCAGTGGTGAATGAAACTGGAGGAAGGAAGTCTAGCAGGTATACAGTATGATGAGATGTTAAACTATATTTTCAATTACCCTATAGCAGGGGTGTCAAACTCAATTTCATCGCGGGCCACATTAACATTATGGTTGAGCTCAAAGGGCCGGTTGTAACTTTAAGACTATATAAATACACATATATAAATATATAATATAATGAATTATATTACATTATTGCCTAAATTATTATCGGATAGGGTGTTAACTTCATAATCAACTACGTCTGTTGGCAGAAGTCTAGGGCAAATAATTGCAACGTATTATATTCTTTGCATGCTCTTACGGGCCACATAAAATGAAGTCCGCAGGCCTTGAGTTTGACACCCCTGCCCTATAGGATGCACAATGATTATGTAATACAGCTGCAGCATAATGCCTCATAAAGGGATATTTGGGATGTTGTGAAGTGGGTTTGTATGAGGAACTTATAGGTACTTCATATAACCCAATTCCTTTCAGGGTTGCATCTGTTAAATTAATGTGTGCACATTTTTCGTGCAAATGTCTCTCATGCAGGTTCGTCAACATACCGTACCGGATCAGTTCCACCACCACACCGGATGGAAGGTGCCATAGGAACGGTTGCTTGGTCTCCAAATGTGGATGTCAGCAACAACCAGCAAGTTTACAACAACACCAGTCCTCGGTTACATCGAAATAAAACCCATATTAACAATTCATCTTTACCTTCCCTTCTAACTACCTCAAATGTTACCCCAGGCACTAAACCTGGGAGGGGGATGTGTGGGATTAAATGGACACTAGGAAAGTGTTGAGAGTAGAAGTGAAAAGTAGTGAAAAATTCACCATTAAAAAAAAACGAGAGCTAAGTGGCGTCTGTACATTTTAATAATGCCATTTTCAGGATCAAATGGCATGCTTAGGATCAACTTTTGATGTACAGACATTGTACAGTAGTGTGCAACATTTACACATTTATTAATAATGTGTTATAAAACCATTTAGCAAATTTAACTGTGGCCAATTACATTCACAAGCTGGTTTGCTGGTTACCTAAACAGTTTATCCACAATACATTACCCCGTCATTAGTTTGTCATTTTCCATATCTGGCCAGGTCTACTTCCCTTTCAGATAAAGGGTGTGGGTGGCTTAAGGCAGTGACGTAAAATCAAGAGTTTTTCAAGGCAACCCTGGTGCTGCTACAAATAGGCACTTTTTAAAGTGAGTGGCTGCAGTGTGTGTGTTTTTTGGCTGTGTGTTTTGTCCTCATTTGGTCGGCTCATAAAGCTGCAGGTCCAGTTTGACCCAGACTTCTCCAGTTGGGACTTCATGCAGTAGAAGGCGTCGGTTTGCGGCACCTTTGCTCTCCATCTCTTTCTTTATAGTCGCCACGGGAACCTCAGTACGACCAAGGAAATCTAGGAAACAGAACAGTCATTTAGTTACACCTCTTAAATGAATAACTGTTTTTATTTTTCTTCCGTAGTAGTCAGAAAGTCAAACGCAGGCCTTAGAACCTGACCGGCAAACACTGATTTTGTGTCGTTGCTTCCTGTACAATTGTGTGTGTGTGTGTGTGTGTGTGTGTGTGTGTGTGTGTGTGTGTGTGTGTGTGTGTGTGTGTGTGTGTGTGTGTGTGTGTGTGTGTGTGTGTGTGTGTGTGTGTGTGTGTGTGTGTGTGTGTGTGTGTGTGTGTGTGTGTGTGTGTGTGCGCGTGTGTGTGCGTGCGTGCGTGCGTGCGTGCGTGCGTGTCTTGTATCCACTGACCATCAGGTGAGAACTGGTCCTTCTCGAACACGGTGATACACAGGATGTCCTGGTAGAGGTCTTTGATGAAGAACTGGCAGTTGAAGTTCCACTTTGGGTTCAGGGTGTCGCTGGCGGGCCGGGAGGTGTAGCACTGAGCCCCCATCGTCAGCTCACAGTACGGGTTGCTCTTACCTGGGGGAAACATAATGTGTTTCAATTTAACTCAAAATTACTTATGCTTATGAATACTGTATTTAACAATTCACTGGTATTCCTCACCATTGGGTTTACAGGCTTTGAGCTCCTGGGCTTCAGCGACAGTTACCAGCAGGCGGCCGATACCGCTGCTTTTCAGGGAACGAGCTGAAACAAACACACACACATTAAATATGGGCCTACACCCTTAAGTGTTAATTCAAATTTTACATTTTAATATTCAGGGAGCAGGATTATGTTTTTGTTTTGCTGAAGGAATCGTAAGGACAGAGGGGTTACATTTTTTAACAAATGTATATTTCAGCTTTTGCAAACATTACACTACATGGAACTTGAATTGATATTTCTCATTCAATCTTATCTGTGCATACAATTGCTTCTTCAGTTTAGCCTACATCACAAAATAACATCATAAATGAACCAACCATTTGAAAATTGCTAATTTAATTCAATTAAATTGCTATTAATGGGGTGACAAGTTTTACCAAATCACGAGGTAATAAGAGGAGGGTGTTTCAGGGGTTTCCAAGGCGAGAGTAAGTAAGAACATGTGAATGTGTTTACCTTGGTAAGCTTTCTCTCTCTTCTTCTTCTCCGTCTCTATGAAATGTTCAGAAGCTGCTTTGATTTTCTGGACCCACGTTGTTCTACCGACACAATAAATACATCAATCTTTTACACAGTTTGATTATCTTATGGATATAAATGTTGGAAGATGTACATGTGCATGCATACCTCTCGTTCAGGGTCTCAGTTTTGAGCGTATAGACACGATCGATGTGTGAGACGTGGAAGAGTGGCTCATCGCTCGAGGGGTCCGCTGGCATTTTCACCAAAACCTCATTTAGGAACAGAGGCTGGAGAAGAACAGAAGGTCAATCATAGGAAGACTGCACCTAGGCACTGATTCATAAATAATCAAAGTAGTATTTGATATCATTCTGTGTGTGAATACTGCCTGGCCTCTCTCTTACTGTTTTGTACATCTTCAGCTGTATGTTGGTCTTGAGACTGAATAGCCTGTCTGGTCCCGAGGAAGAGAAGGGTTTGGCGCTATGTGTGAGGAGGAAGAAATCATTGAAGAGGAAAGCCCACAACTCCCTGCTGCTTTTGGTTTTGTAAAGTCGGCCACTGTGCAGCAGCTTGCGAGGCCCGAGGCAGTTCGTCAGCGAGTTGAAGACCAAGTGCTGGAAGAGAAAAGGCAGGAGTGAGGAGAGATGAAGGAAACTATCAAGTACAGTGAGGGCTGCAGTAAAAAATGCTCCCTGCCTCTGCTACTGCATGTGTTCATTTGTTCTGGTAACAGACTCATCCATTCTGATGTAGAGGAGAAGGGAAACCGCAAACAAAGGTTATGATAGAAGTATCGAGAAGGAGCTATTACAGTATACAACATGCATTGGGGGAGGTGTTTATTACTGCACTTCATAGCAACAATATTGATATTTTTAGACTTCTACGGAAGGAAAGTGTGATTATTATAAGTGTGATGTGAATAGTTTTTTTCTCATGAATATATGCCTCGGGAACATGTTTTGTTTTGTGGAATAATATTGTTATGTTTCTTTCATCCGCTACTACTTGTTTTAAAAATAGGACTTTTTATTTATTAATTTGTTTCATTTCTATGAGCACCCTACCACAAGGTACATTTTGTATTAGTAAGTTATGCAGCAATACTCTCATGTCTTTTTGTGTCTAGAAATATATTTGACTCATAGAAATACATGAACTTTGTGTTTAGAGTGCATGGAAACATATGAATTCACCCTGAAGAAAAACAAGTTTGTAGTCCTAATTACAACATGGGCCCCTCTGTGTCCAAAATGAGTATTACAACAACAAAAACAATAACATTATCCGGACACAAAAAGAAATCTCTTGCCAAAGAATTCCTAGATGAAAAAAAAGATGAATAGACTTTTTTTGTTTCAGAGATGAACTTAGACGGGTAATCTTAAAGGTCCCATGTCATGGCCATTTCTACTGATCATAATTCCATTGTTGAGGTCTACTAGAATAGATTTACATTGTTCAATGTTCCAAAATCACATTGGTTTCTCAAACAGCATCTCTGTATAGTATTTGTATTCACTCTGTCCTAAACAGCTTGTTGGAGCTCCTGCCCCCCCCTCCCTATGAGCCCACTGTGCTCTGATTGGTCAGCTCGCCCACTCTGTTCTGATGAGTCCACCACCGTTACAGCGGAACATCAGTGATTATGTGTTACCATGGCGTTTGTTAGCAACCAGAAAATGACACCAGTAATGACAAACAGATGAGAATGCTGCATGGGGTCTGGGTGCCGTGTTGGCGGGACGTTGCGGGGCTCGCTGCTCCACCCTTTGAGGATCGAGGAGCAGACAGTGTGAGCTGGATTACTGGTGTTGTTTCCTGGTTGCTGCGTGGGGTCTGCGAGACAACGAGACACCGCGGAGCTCAGCCTGAGCACACGCATACACTCACAGCCAGGCTGTTCGCCACACAGTTCACCACACACTCACAGCCTGAGAAAAGATAAGGCTGAGTGAGTGTGTGTGCCGGCGAAACTCCGCGGAGTAGCGCGGCTGAGAAAAGACAAGGCTGAGTGAGTGTGTGTGTGAGGAGCTCCACGGATTGGTCCATTTGGACCTTGGTATGGTTACGTCACTATACTCAGGAAGAAAAAAATGGAAAAATAAAAATCTCCAACGAGGTGTTCTGGGGCAGCATAGACAGGTATTTTCTGTGTTAGAGTTTTACTCGCTACAGGGTGTACTTTGAGGGTTTGTGACTTTGCAGACCGTTTACATGCATAAAAAGCTACATACAGTAACACACAAGGGGACGAGTTATAACCGGAAAAGCATGACATGGGACCTTTAAGTCATAAGAAAAAGAGAGAAATGTATAATAGACTTCCAAATGTTTTATTATAATATTCTTCCAAGTGAATATTATAGAATATCTTATCTGCGTGTGTTTACCTCTATAGTCCCCTCACTCTGCACGTGGCTCTGAGTCCACTCCAGCCTGTCAGAGTTCTCCTTCTCCCGCACCCCCTCGTTGACCTGAGAGCACAGCTCCTCCGCCCCCTCCAGAGCTTCTCTCAGTGGGCCGCGGTCCGCATGATTATCAGGGGTGTGCTCCAAGATCTGACCCATAGGAAGAGGCACGGAGAGACATGCAATAAATATCAGAAAAATGTGGTGGATCCAGAGCATATAAAGTCATAAAGAAAGCATTTTTCTACATACGTTCTTTATGAGCAGGGGGTAGCGTGTGATCCTCTGCATGGGCTTGAGGAGGAAGCTGGACAGTGGCATTCCTTTGCAGCGGTAGTTAGTGGCTATCTTCTGCTCAAGAGGAAGCAAACAGTAAGAGAGAGAACACATTTTATTTTCTTCTTTCTTCTCAGAATTGTCAGTTTTGTCCCTTTGGTTTTTTTCTTTTAATATGACCATCCATTATCTGCCACCTTTACCTTGAGGAAGTCTTTAAAGTCCTGCTGGTCTTGGGTTTTGCTCTGCAGCAGGGCGGCTGCGTTGAGCTGGCAGGAGCAGAAGCTGATGTAGGCCTGCATGTGTACGAGCTCCGAGGCCAACAGGTCCCCGATCAGCTGGACCGGCATGTTGTCTCCTTCCGTCTTTTTACGGACACGCAGCGCCCTGGGAAACACGGATGATGATGATATAAAACATGATTTTTGTTACATCTTTATTAAAAGATCCAAATCTGTTTTCCAGTGGATTTTTCCTTAAAGGGACAATTCAACCTACAGTGATACGGGAAAGAAAATAGCTCCTACATAAAACTGCGTAACTGAGTAACTGGGTCATGATTTCTGGGAAGAGACAATGTTGTGGATTTCTAAACATGAAGATAAAGGCAGACATCTCTACGGCTGATAGCACCAACCTACACCATAACATCTCAATTGATTAATAGCAATATAGATAAGTGGAAACAAATATTTTATTTTTAATTTAGGGTGAACTGTCCCTTTACATATATTTTTTCTTTGTGCATTTCCTCCTTTTAGCACATACGAAATTACAATTTAAGAAGCAGGGTATATTAACGAAATGTCCCAGAATGCTTCTAAAGGCAGTGTGTGGTACCTACTTGAGTAGCTTGGTGTTAGATATAATGAGCTCCCTCCAGTTAACAAAGATTATTCCCATCTCAGCTTCAGTTAGTCGGCCGGACTCAGACATGGGTTTGTAGAAGACCTGAGTGACAGATGTTTGCAAATGGACATTAATTAAAATGAAACACTATAGGAAATGCCAGTGCCTGTATGTTTATGTTCGTCCGTACTTCAAGAACCAGCTCCAGGTCTTCCACGTAGGTCTCCTCAGTCTGGATGAGCTCATGGATGTAACCCTGCCTCTTCCTCTCCTGAGGGGTCATGGTGTCCAACGACATCAGGTCAGCACACCCTACAGCGCACATGCAAACATGCACAAACACACAAGCATGTGCATGTGCATGCACACAAACACTTTCCAGTCAATCACAGATACAGTGTCCGAGGAAAAACACGACACACTATGCATGTTAAAATCTCCCTTTATTGTCAGTTATATATTTCTATTTACATTTAATGCACAGACAAGTGTGAGGCACGTTGTAGTTGCAGTACATGAACTAAGGGATCATAGCAGGCGATGCTAACGCTAAGAACTCTGCTACCAAGGCAATGAGTAAAAGAAGAATTAAGCACCTTTCATGGTGGAGCGCTCACTCCAAAGGATTGCATAGGTGTGAATGAGTAAAGAAGCTAATCCTCTAGGGAAAGAGCGGTGGAAGACTCAGTTGAAGTTCAAACTTAGCAAAATGTGGAGGTAAATGTCAGCAGTGTAGTGTCATAATCTCTGAATCTACTCTTACCAGCTAGTATGCTAATATCTGCGTGTTTGTTCTTTTTGCTGGTGATATCACAGTTCATTATAGGATGACCTCAACCTTAATCACTTGGAAGCATTAATAGATGGAGAAGTGCATAATAAGTGGATAATAAAATCACAATTCATTTGTTTGAGTAAAGCATCAGCAAGCAGCAATCAAGGTTATTGGTGATTTAAGCAACAGCGAGTCTTTACATTGGTCCGTTTTGGCAAGGTTTCATGTTGTTAGTGCAAGAATAAGTAACCCTGCAAAATGCTTACATACATAACCTTAATATAGAAATGTCAACGATTTAAGTCTAATCCATTTATATATTTGTTTCATTATACTTTGTAAGCAAACAATTTCAATCCGTATTTAAATGTATCTTTAGCAAAACTACACATTTCATGCCTTTTATGAGAGGTACGAAGCCTCTAAAAACATGTTTAGCTGCCTCTTCCTCGCTCCCAGGTTAGTTAGTTAGTTAAAGAAACACAAGGGAAACACAGGAGGAGAGAGCGAGGGGGATAAAGGTGAGTAATAAATGCTTAAGAGAAAAGGACAGAACAAAGAGAAGGTAAAGGAAGCTAAATCAATTATAAAAGGGATCAATAACCAGTAGCACAGAACACTACAGTCCTAAAAAGGTGGAAAGCGCAGAGGTGGGCTGTTCTTGCTGGCGGCTGGGCCTCCTGTAGCGACAGGGCAAATCGGATAGGCTCAGACAGAAGGGGAAGAAGGAAGAGGAAGAGGAGGAGGAGGAGGAGGAGGAAGAGGAGCAGAGAGGAAAGCCAGCATTACTGTCCTACAGAGGAAAAAAAGATGAAGTGGAGGGGCGGGAGGGGGAGGTGAGTGAGATGAAGGAGAGACGGAGAGACATTAATATAGTTTTAATATTAATGCTACACTCTTACATGCAGGTGTATTAATAATGTATTTCTGGAAATGTAAATGTTGTTACTAATCACATCAGTTGGGGCATGATGGTCATTTCTTCCTTCTTTTTCCCTGTGATTAAACGCAGGCCTTGTGTGAGCCGGGGTGTGTACGAGTTCATGTTCATTAGCATTAAAATGTCATTTTGTTTTGTGTCTGCAGCTTTGACAAGTGCATCCTAATTAAATGTCCAGTGTGTTCACACTTGTTAACAGAGATCCAACGGCGCGGAGACAACACGCAGGCTATGAATACTAATTGAGACACGTACCTCCTGCTTAAAATGGGGCCCTTTTTTAAATAATCAGATCTGTGAAGAATCCTAGCCTTACCAAAGAGCATGATCAGTGAACTATATAAACATTGTGCACATCAATTTCCCAGTGAAAATTAAGCTTCCAAAATAATTTAACTGATAAGGACGAAAGAAATTGCTTTTAATTTGAAATGTATCAGTGGTTGTTCCCTTTTGTTCTGTGATCCAGAGATTTTTGGCAAGACATTTTGGGAAATATGTCTATTCGCTTTGTTCCCTAGGGTAAGCAGAGAAGATTGATGCCACTCTCGAGTCTGTATGCTAAATATAAAACTATGGCCGACTGTTAGCCTAGCTTGACCTACTGTATAGTGTGTGGGAAAATGTTAGCTTATCAAGCAAGCTCTGTCATATTTCTGTTTTTTGTTAAAAAAATAAGATACTGAGTGTTATTTAGTGAGCTAAAAAGTCTTGGTAGGCATATTTTCATGATTGTTTTGCTTTCCGACACAGCCAAGCTAGCATTTTCTTACTGCTATATTTATATTTATGCTAAGCTAATCGCTTGCTAGCTTTAGCCTTACTTAACAGAGCTGGCAAGCAGGTGCATAAACTTATTTCCCAAAATGTCAACCTATTTCTTTCAATGATTTTAAATTCTTTGTACAGCCATTCCAGGGACAATCAAAAAGCCAATTTAACAGTGATTTTACTTTTTAAATTAAGTATCACACCATGTGGGGAATTGAGCCGTGGGTTTAAATTCACCAGTGATCTCTCAGTGACAGAAACCAACTATTTTATCTTACCGTCAGTCTCTCCATGCTCTGACATGGATGGGGGATCTACTGTACCTGCAGTGAGCCAAGGCAACCAATGAGATTGACAGCAGCAAAGAAAAGTTTGTTTCTACAGCTGATAGATATCTGTTTCGCCTACAGTCTTATTTTCTTCCCAACAGCACTTTCACAATACTTCCAACTAGATGTGTAAACTATTGATTTTCTCTCACTTGTATGACAGAGAAATATGGTCCATCTGAGGAAAATGACTTGAGATTTACTCACATTGCTGGCTGGGGTCTGATTCTGTTGTCATCTGGACATAATTGGTGGGCAGCAGACCTGTGACCCCATTGACGTCTCCTTTCCACCAGTCAGGGTTGGTCTTGTCCAGGACGCTGATCAGCTGACCCTTGGAGAAGCTCAGCTCATCCTGATTGGCAGCGGTGTAGTCGTACATTGCAATAACTTGGCACACTGCGGGTGCAAAGACATACATCTGGTTTTATAAGGATGTGAGTTTAAGCAACTTGGTTAGTTAGATGGTTCTGTTTGAAATATCTCAACTGCTGTTAGATGGATAACCCTGAGAATTATTTTACATTTATGCTCCCCAGAGGATAAATCAGCCCCTACAATGATGTCAATCTGTTGACAATACTGATACTTTAAGGTTTCCTGGAATACTTTTAGTACAAAATATAACAGTATTTGCATATTTTTAAAGTTAACAACAATGCTGTGCACTGGTAAAATGACAGATACTACATTATGCAATTCCGAGTTAGTCATTTATAACATCTTGGTATATTTTAGGGGAATATGTCCAAATAAGAGACAATTGTCTATGCGTCTGCTTGAATATGTAAGACAGAAACCAATCAATAATTGTGTTTTAAGTGTGTGTGCTATCACCAGGCAGAGGGGAGGGAGAGGACTTGCTGCTGGAGGGCCCGAGGAGCTTGACGTGAGAGGAATGGAACCAGCCTCTCTGCCGCTTCTTCCCTCGAGCCTGGAGGGAAAAGAGAGAGTAAATCAATCTCCTGCTGCTTCCCCTCTGGATTATTTATCCAGACTTGAATTGATGAATTTATTTGGTCTTGCAGAGTTCTGAGAATTGATATGGCTTCATAAATTAGACCAAAGTGCAGCCTCAAGTCTGAATGACTAAATGATTGCTGTCAAAAGTTTAATAGACTAATATCCTAATTTGCTTTACCAAGGGCCAAATGCAATTTGACAAAGCTGTGGTATTCATCTTTAATTCCCATTTTGTCTGAACTTTGCTGCTTTGTCTCAGCTTTTCTCATTACTGTGTCAAACTGAGAGCTTAACCAGAGCTATAGTGGCAGCCTCAGCACAAAATTGGAGTGAGGATTGACCGCTCACTCCTATAGATGTATGACCTGAAGACAACCCTGTTATTACTCCTGTTACCTCCTGTCCACCTCTCACAAAACCTCCATTGATCTGACAAGTCAGCAGATACAACAGCATCCACAGAATAAGCTTTGTTGGAGTGGTACATTTACCTACATTGTGTTATTTATTTGTAATTTCTCTTTTACATTTTCAAAAAAAATGAGAATGATACTTTGGTCATAAAGCATGCCATTTTTTGTTTTTTCATACAATTAAATATTTATAGTTCTTCAAACAGAGAAAGAAAAGACTGTCAGTGTGGATATTCAAATACATCCCACATTGAAGGAATAGCCAATTCATTGCTGCACATCAGCATTTAAGTACGAATGAATCAGAGTTACTGGCATTTTAAAGCTTTGCATATAAACTACATTCATAAAAACTACATTAAATCGAAATGGGCCCCTACAGCTGTAATCACTGACCTGCAGTTCCCCGAGCCACCAGCCAGTGGAGTTCTTGGCCAGCACCACAATCAGTTGCCCTGGAGACAGACGCAGCTGATGCGTCGTCGGGGCGACGGTGGTGGAGACTGCCTGGGCGATCTCTGTTGGCCAAACAGATACAGCTGAGGATGAATTTAGATCAGGTAAATGTCAAGAGCATAACAGAGTTAATAGGCCATTATTTATTTGTGTGGAGTGTGTGTGTGTGTGTGTGTGTGTGTGTGTGTGTGTGTGTGTGTGTGTGTGTGTGTGTGTGTGTGTGTGTGTGTTGTATTTGTGAATCACTGACTCACCAGGCTTTTTGATCGAAGCTCCAGCTTTTGTTCCCTGAAATAAAACAAGTTGTATTTTATTAACAAATAACTAAAATAATTGCATTCAAAAATAAAAGAAAACTATGTAACTTTAAAAAAAAATGAAGATGATTAAATATATATTATTGTATAATCCTTTAATTAAAACTATATTATTATTTATAGTTCATAGCTCAAAGGCCCTTATCAAAAAAAATGTAAAAGGAAAAAATAAAAGCAGATGCAAAATGAATAAATAATGCAATTCAATACATTCTTTGTAAAGATGATATGATGCTTTTTTACTTTAAATGGCTCGTCTCACCTCTGGTTCTACAGGTCGGACATAGTTGGAGGGAAACACTCCCGTATGATCCCCGATGCATCCACGCCACCACTCTCCCTCTCTCTCTGTCACCATGACAACATCTCCCTCAACAAACGTCAGGTCCCCAGCCTCTGGGCTCTCATACGTGTACAAGGCCACAAACTCTGGTTACCATAAAATACAGGAGTGCAAGTCAGAGCCAAATATCTTACAATATGAATATGAAATACAGTTATGTGCCACAGATAAACTATACCTACCCTCGAGTTGAACAGAATCACATGTGTCAAATGGATCCACACTAGAAGGGGAAAAACAAAGTCAATGTAGTCTGAGCAAAAGTAGACAATATAAGGTGTGTTTGTGTGTGTCTTCATACTCTGTATTGCCACCCATCTCCAAAGTGACGTAGCTCTTGGGGAACCATCCATGTGTCCCATTGAGCTGCCCCAACCACCAGTCTTCCCTCTGCTGCTGCACGCTGATGATGTCACCCTGGGAGAAGCTCAGCATTGGGGTTATGACGTCACCCGCCCCGGAGGAGAGGTTGAGGTGAGTTTCCGATGTGGCTGACCAGGAGGAAACGGCTCGAGCCAACAGAGGGAAGAAGGACTGAAAAGTAGAGAAGCAAAGTTTTACATCAAGCACCATGGAGTAAATGATTGATTAAATCAAGGAAACCATGAAAATCATCCTCAAGGCCATTCGTCTCGATATAGAGATACTTAAAATATCACTGACCATGAGACCTACTAACACTAATGTCATCTATTGGGAGACGGAGATCTGTAAATGCTTGTGTGACCCACAAAATGGCCAAGAAATAGAAGAACTCTCAATAGGGAAAACTATAAATAAACATCCTGCTGTTGTACTGTAGAGGATGTGTGTGTGTTGGTGTCAGCAGCAGTGTATGTACACAAGCCAGACCTAGTTAGTTGCCTTCCAAAGCCTGTTTATAGCTCAAATAACTATGAAGGAAGGGAACATGACACTAACAGGAAACATAGCGGATCCAAATATGTTTCATGCAATGTTATTTTAAAGTCAAGGTAAGGTTGAAAATAACACGCTTTATAGATATTTCTGGGGTTTGTCTTTTTTGCCTTTGGGTTATATTGCTATGCATTTAGTTGTTCTAGGAGCCTAGAGTAAAATATATATCAAACTTTACCTGTGAAGTGTCTGCTTGGGCAGAAACAGTGCTGTCATCAACTACCTTCCCATCTAGGTCTCTGGGTAAAAATGGAGGGACAAACACTTAGAGAAGAAGCAAACAAGAATCAAAACTCAACTAATACAGAAACAAACTGTAATATTTTTAGTGTAGGGAGACAGAATGAAACAAATACTTTTTCTTTGGGATATTTCAGTTACCCTGTGTTATGTGGTATTGGCGGTGGACAGGACATTTTTCCAGGTAAAGAAGCTGGAGTCTCAGTGGTGGAGGTAGAGGGAGTGTGGCACTTCTCTGCGTAACTCTGGGGAAACCAGCCCCTTTTTCCATTGAATCTCCCACACAACCAGCCAGGCTCACCTACAGTCTGCTCATCCACCTGCATCATGGAAAACACACCTTATATCAGCAATTGCAAGACATAGAGGATGTTGTTTCCTAGCACAGCGATCATACACATTTAGTATTTTTAGAGATCCATCGGACACCTGCTTTACGGTAATTTTTATTTTTTGGGAGATCAGACAACTCTCTTTTTTTCACTTGACCGTGTTGGTTTCTGTCCTGCATCTTGTGCCAAGCGATAGTAATGACATATTTTAGTAAAACGCAGATTCTAGTAAGCTAACTGCTAGAAATACAATCATAGTCATATTAGCTAACTAGCTTAGGCTAGCAATTATAAAAGCAGTTACTCTTTTACATAAAAGTAAACAATGTGTAAATGTTCGGTTAAATCGTTGTTCTTTTGTGTGATATTTGTTACTTTCTTTTGCTTACATTTAACTATCATATGTAATGTTGTCTGTGTGAAGTAGCCGAGTGGTGATGCTAATGATAGCACTGAATGGTTTAGGCCCAAAATACATTTCTGATCTACTGCTAAATTATGAACCATCCAGATCTCTCAGGTCTTCAGGGACTGGTCAGCTTTCTGTCCCCAGAGTCAGAACTAAACATGGAGAAGCAGCGTTCAGTTATTATGCTCCGAATATCTGGAACAAACTCCCAGAAACCTGCAGGTCCGCTGCAACTCTGACTACTTTTAAATCCAGGCTGAATACTTTTCTTTTTGCCGCTGCTTTTAATTGAACTATTCATATCTTAAACTGCACTGTAACTTTTTATTCATGTATTTTTTCTTTTAATGTTTATTTTATTATCTTTTCTTTTTAATGATTGTTTTTAAATGCCTTTGTCTGAATGTCTTTCATTTTTGTAAAGCACCTTGAATTGCCTTGTGATGAAAGGTGCTATATAAATAAACTTGCCTTGCCTTGCCTAAGATGTTGTCCACAGTAAACATACTGTAGTCTATCCCTGACAAAATGACTGAAAAATTTCTTTTTTGGAGCTTTGTTTCTGCTGGTATATCAATCCGTGGAGTTATATAAAGAAAAAGCAGAAAAAGCATCCACAAAAATGAGACTTCAGGATTTTTGAGGAATGCTGCAAATATTAAATACTGAAATATATACATGCCTGCATCTCATGGTAAATAGGTAAATGGAACATCTGTTGTGTGTGTGTGTGTGTGTGTGTGTGTGTGTGTGTGTGTGTGTGTGTGTGTGTGTGTGTGTGTGTGTGTGTGTGTGTGTGTGTGTGTGTGTGTGTGTGTGTGTGTGTGTGTGTGTCTAGTACCTCTATAGTGCCGTCTGCGTCTATACTCAGCTCATCTGCGTTTCGGGCCACAAAGGAGTACAGCGCTCTATACGGGGTCAGCTTTGAGGATGGCTGAGTCACCAACACCGGCTGCTGTTCTCCTCTTTCCTGCTCCGTTTTCCTCCTTATCCTCTCCTTCTCCTCCTCTTGCCGTTTCCTTTCCGCCTCCACCTGCTCCCTCTTCTTCTTTTCCTCCTCCTCCTGCTCCCTCTTCTTCTTTTCCTCCTCCTCCTGCTCCCTCTTCTTCTTTTCCTCCTCCTCCTCTTCTCTCCTTCTTCTCTCCTCTTCCTGAGCTTTCTCCTGAGCTGCTCTGAGGCGAGCTTGTGCTTCCCTCTCCTCCTCCTCCCTCTGCCGGGCCCTCTGCTCCTCCAGGAGCCTCCTTTGACGCGCCTCCTCTTCCTCCTTCTTGATCTGCTCCTGCTCTCTTCTCTCTTGATCTAGCTTTGCCTGTCTGTGGAAAGAAAAAAGCAACTTTGTCACAGAAAATGTGTTTAAAATGAAGGTCACTTAAATGATCTAGAGAGTAAAACATCAAGTATGAGTAATGTGCAGCCACACTCACCTGGCTGCCTCTTCTTCCTCCCTCCTCTTCCTCTCCATCTCCTCCTCCTTGCGCCTCTGAAGCGCCCTCACTTTCTCCTCTTTGACTCTGTGCAGGTCGTCGAGGACAGCCTGCTGCCTCGCCTGCTTCTCCCTCAGCTCCTGATATGTACAATGCATAAGAGAGGCATCAAATCAAGCATCGTTCAGTCAACGCAGAAACCGTGTTATGATTCTCCAAAGCACAAAACAGCTGTATGCAAGCTTTCATTCGGCTGCTACAAACACAAAGCAGCCAAGGTAGTGGATGTGCAGTACTGTCTTTTACATGTGTGTGTCAAAATCTATAGAAAGAAGTCCAGGTGCTGCAAAACATATCTCTATGTACATATGAGGTCATTTAACATCATACCTGCTTGGTGCATTAGTACAAACATGCCATACTGAAAAACACACCAACACTGACATTGACAGAAACATGCAGTTGTGTGTATATTATACAAGCAGATTGTTTTTCTCCCATTGCTAATACAGCAATTGTGCAGGTTAAGCATTCTGTGTGTGCTTTTTACCCTCAGGGTGCAACCTGTTTACAGAGAAAACACACGCTGGAACAAATTCCATGGAGAAAAACAACAACAAAATAATGGAAGACCAGAGTAGAGCTCCATTTAATAATGAGTCGTGGGATACAAAAGGAGAGGAGGATTGAAGATTGTGGACTGGGGGGAAACCATAGACTGTATAGGGGAAAACAAGAGGTGAGATGACAAAATAATAAATAAGGGGGGTGGTGATAAAGATTACAAAGTGGGGGTTGGGAGAGGGAGACAGAGAGGAAGAATGATAACCTTGATGAGAAGGAAGAGCTGGCTGAGGCAGGCCAGCAGAGACAGAAGGCCTCGCAGGACACAGTCATCCATATCCCCCAGCTATGAGCGAAACACAGTGCGATGATGGAGGGAGGCAAAGCGGTGGAGTAGATGATCAAAAAGGTATAATAAGTGTGATAAAGAAAAACGGAGAAAAACAGAAATGGGAAGTGAATTCATAAGAAAGACATCCAGGTAGAGGAAGCAGCGGAAAAAAAGAGACAGAGAAGAAAAATCAAGGCGTTAAAAGCTTTGAAGAGCAGGGAGGAAAGGAAAACAGTTAAACAGACCAAAAGAGAAATAGTGAGTATTACATTGACAATTGATATACTGGGAGGGAGCATGACATCAATCATCACAGCAAGTATCGAATTTGTGTACACCTGAGTGTGGATGTGGGCAATAACTTTGCCTGAGGGGTGAAACTCTAAAGTTACCCTGAGCAGCCCAACAAGATTTCACAGCAGTGTTTTCAGTGTGAAACTGCCTTTTTCTGCTTTATTCCAATAAACCATAGCTGAAGGATAGAAACAAATCCAGCTGCTGCATATTGGTGCCATAAATCATGCAGTGGTGCTGCTTTTTTCTTTGTCGCATCATCCAGAAAATACCGACTTCTATGCCGAAATATAAGTCAATACATGTCCCCCCAAAAAGTTAGGGCTTCAAGATGAGAAAAGGACTACGATACACCAGTTGATCATCTTTGCCTGCTATAGATGAAAAACAGTTAAACAGTTATCCTGGCTATCAAGTAAAACAAAATACATCTCAAGTAGCTAATCAATAAGTCATGTCGTCATTCATCAGTACACAACTTCCACAATTTTGGGTCTGAAACCACTCTGACCTGGCTCTTCCGGGGCTAACTTGGGTTGTGTATAAATTCAAATAGTTTAATCTCCTTTGAGTGGGGCTAAAAAGGTCGTCACCACCCTTCATTTCCTGAATTTGTCTGTACCCACTGACCTTAAGCTCCTTGTTGTACTGCTCCATCTCGGCCAGTTTGTCGGTTGTCTCCCTCTCCAGAGTGTCAAGCTGGTCCTTCAGCCTCCGGCACTTCACTCCTTTCTCGTTCACACTCCCGCTCACAGAGGTCAGAGTCACGGCTGCAAGGCAAAGATCAAAGATGTCAGAAGAAAGTGAGAGAATTCCGGTGATGCGTTCTTGTTGTGCCACCGGGCGTTAGTCACCCACAGGAGATTTTGTTGAGGTTGAGGCTCCGCAGCTTCTCTGTCAGCCTCTGCTGCTCTGGGATCAGGATGGAGAGCTTCTTCTGCCAGTCCTACAAGTCACAGAGGCACACACAAACAGAGAATGAACAAAATGCAATTATTGAAATGTTTGACACGGAAGGGAAGTGGAAAGTCTTTAACCTCGAACTGAAGCTGCAGCGTGTTGATCTCGATGATGCGCGCGTCTCTCTTCTGATTGACGAGGTCCACCTCTGCCTTCAGGATCCGCCTCTTGCTCTTGGCGTCACGGAGACAGTCTGAGATCTGCTTGTGCTTGTTGCCCTGCGAGACCGGGGGTAATTGATATCAGTGTCCCTGTTGTCTTGTGTCCAGATTGTGATCGCACATTTCTGATTGCTATTTCAGTCTCACCACAGCCTCCAGCTCCAACTCCAGACTCTTCTTTTTGGCCCTCAGTCTGGAGATCTCTTCCTGCTCTCCCTCTTTCCTCATGCCCAGTTCCTCTCTCTTCCCACGCTCCCACTCCTCTCTGCGTTGGCGCTCCATCTCCTGCTTCGCCGCCTTAAAAGCATGAACACACATGGTCACCTGACAAACTAGAGGTTCAGCGTCTCACATGATGCTTCTATCACTCACCTCCATCCTCTCCAGCTCTCTCAGCCTCTCCTCCTCCCTCTGCCTCTCCATCTCTCTCCGCCTCTCCTCCTCCAGCCTCCTGCGGTTCTCCTGCTCGCTCGCCTCCCTCTCCCTCCTCTCATGCGCCTCCCTCTCCTCCCTATCCCTCCTCTCTCGCTCCTTCCTCTGCCCCTCTTCCAGAGCCAGGCGACGTTTCTCCAGCTCGGCGCTGCCTCTTGCAAAGTTCTCCTTCAGCCTGTCCTCGTAGGACACTGAGCGGAAGAGAACATACAGGAATGTTACAGAGGAAGAGCCCTTACGTTATAAGAAAGCATTTTGTGTGCAGGAAATGCCATACCATTGTTTATGTTCTTTTGTGAAGGTAGTATCTCCAGCGTGTCGATTAAACAGGGAGTTATGTGAGGCCCCGTTCCATTAACAAGCTCAATGGGCTGGAATCCTCCTCTGAAATCCAACACATGTAAACCTCTGTTATTGCAATTTTAAATAGAAATTCAATTGAAAAGTGTATAAATACAGTGTATGTTACCTGACAGAGGGAGGTACCAAGTCTTGAGGCAGGGTGAGGGGTAAAGGTCGGCCAGTTTTAGCCATTTCCACCAGGTGCATGGCCAGAATGAACTCATCAGCTTGGAGCTGTCCGTCTTTATCCACATCTGCCAGAGTCCTGCGGAAGTAAGGAATAATAAACTCAAATAAAGCATTAAAACTTGTGGGTTAGAATATCATGATTTGACAGCAGGATCTTTTTTTTTTTGGAAGCAGCAAGACAAGCTGTTAATATTGACAAATTATCACCTTGTGAAGTTGTTATTTGGAGTGAGATCGCAAACAGATTTATTTACACATCCTGCTGTCTCTTACCATCTGGTCCTAGACTCACTGATGCTGTACAATATATCGTTTTCTTATTTTCATCGGGGTGACAACTTGTGTAATAAACACATCGCGCAAAACTGAGATATCACACTTTTTGTTAATTAGTTGAAAGAGAAGAGAACTGCACTTTAAATTACTTTTTAAAGAATTGACAGTTTTATATCTCATAATTTATCGCAAGTAACATCTTCCTCATATCCTGCTGCCCTGGTTTGCTTTTTTATTTTGCTGGGTAAGAAGTGTAAGGTTTGTTTAGAGTATTTTGATTATGATATCATAGAGAGTAAATTGAAACAATTTGCTAAAAGACACTAAAATGCTTCAATAAGTTATTTAGATCGATGTTTATACATGTAGTACAAAAAATAATGGGAAGTGAGTCAGGAGTAATATTTAAGATAATCTCCAATGATTTTTGAATTTCCAACATCATTTAAATGACCTTTTCCTTACATATAAACCAACAATGTATTTTTGTTAAATAATATTGGCATTAATTAATAGTTCTAATTGCCTTTTTGTACTGTAGGCCATTGGAATACTTTCCATATTAAATAAAAAACGAATATATCACTATGTTATAAACTATAAAATTCTATATATTGTGATAACACAATTATGAACTCAAAAGAGCAACCTACAGTATGTACTGTATACTCACCAGATGGTGGCGAGTTGAGTCTGGGTGAGGTTGGATGCAATCAGCGCATTTCTAACCTGAGGGCCTGCAAGGTAAAGCATTATCAGAATTAATAACAGATTGAATTCCTGCCAGCTGATTTGAAAATGTTTGCTACCTCTTACCACCACATTCTGTCAAGTGGGGCTAAGATCAACAACATGTGTCTGAAGTGATGCTGACCCAGCCTATGCTCTGTCAAACTTTGAGAGTGCCTCTCATGAGCAGCCCTGCACTCAACTTGTGTTTATTTAGTGTGCACGTACAGTATCTGTGTGCGTATGGGACCTACCAGATAAGTATCCACTCATGAGCTTGTCCAGCGTGTTGAACTGCTGGCGGTACTTGAGTCTCGCGCCCTGCGGAACGCCCCAGTCACTTGCACCCGTTTTCGGAGAGTTGCTGGCCAACGAAGTGGTGGAGGACGAATTTGAACTGCGGAATAAAAGGAAAAGAGAGTCACGCCAAGATATCACCTAAAGGGAATTTACAGAATAATAATACGTGGTCAGCATTTCCTTATTTCTCCCCTTGTTTTCAAGCCTCGACTTAAAACCACTAATTGCATCGGGACTCCCCGGCGTTATCTCTTAATTAGCGGTAGAGGAAGCGAACGGCCTCGTAGATAATGACTCTCTGAAACGTGCTCTCAGGCTATGCTAATCAGCCGCTCTGTTTTTATTACAAACAATGCCTCTGCAAGAATAGCAAAGGCTGGGTCGTTGATGTTCATTTGAAAAGAATGTGCTTATTTTCTGTCGTTATAGCCGGGTGGAAACTCGCTACCCTCCTCTGAAATAGAAGAGGTTTCAGGGAGACAATGGGAGATGCAATGTGGGATCCTCCCTCTGCCCAAGGGATTTTTTGTTTTGTATTTTAGTGTGTGTCCCTTATAACTTGTTATGGATATGGAAAAAACAGCAAAGTGTCAAGCATTACTGAATATAGTGTCACATTTAGAACTTGAAGGTTGGATTTACAGTATATGGGTGGATGTGGGTCAACCTGTATTTTACTTCTTCACACTCCTGATGCCCTTATTTATGCCAGTTTTACCATCTACACCCGGGGACAGGACAAACACAAGGACATCTAAAACAATACATTCAAAATGAAACCAGATACTAATCCTATCCATTCCCCAAACTGCACAGAAGAAGGATATTAGATACCACATATTGTGTTTTTTGAAGGGAATCTAGCTGTTGCTGAAACTGCCCAAAACCTTCCAGCCGTTGGTTTCCATTCCAGGCAGAGATCAAGTGCTTTGTGCAAAAACACAAATAACTCTTTTCTGTCATTGTTGTAGGACTGCAAAACCCCTCCAGTCGCCATATCATATTACCACTTTCCCTTGAGACACAAGCTAGCATTCAAGGCTAATACCATGTGTGATAATTAGCATTTAATGTGACAAACCCCAACTGGTCACGCAAACAACAGTGCACGTCTCTGACTATACTTTAGTCCACTATCCACAAGTTTGTTGTATTTGTTTTGCAGACCTCATCTGAAATACAATCTGTCTTACATTTTATGAGATTAATATTCTTCAGCTAAGCCAGCTGCTCTGTAGTGCTTTACATACTGTAGGCGAAGTACTGTACAGTGGTGTTATGAGCTAAATGGGGCATGAATGTCAGGGCAATCCATCTAGTAATTGCCCAAATATTCCCTCAAAACTTAAAATGTGATAGATGAAAAGTCAGAGGATTACTAATATCAATAGACGTTATAACCTCAAATGAACATAAATCGTTGCCCAAATCCAATCGGTAGTTAAAACAGCAATGAGGATGTCCTAGTACGGCTACTAAAAACTAGATTAAAACGTCACAGTAATGGTGACCTCGCCTTGAAAGAATGCCATTTGACTCTGATGTGTGTGCTTCTAAACAAGCCCACTTCCTATTGTAGCCAGCTAGAACATCTGATTTGAAAATGCCCTTCCTGCTCTCTGTGTTATCAACGTGTTTCATCTCTGCCTGCATTCTGATCCTCAACCCTCCCCTGAAAGAAACTATGCCTCTTTGTGAGCACTGGGCTAAAGGGCTGGCAGTGACTCAGTATTTAAACAGGCATGAGTTGGATGGGCAGACAAACATCATTAAAATTGTCTAAAATTCTCTAGACATGCGAATTTGGGGGAGATTAGATGGTTGTATTTTGCAGTATGGATTTATTTCTCACCTGCTGGATCCGAGATCAAGAAGAGAGTTGGCTTTTGACATGCCGGTGGATGGAGAGAACGCCATGGGAGAGGAGAAGCCAGAGAGAGGGAGCGCTGCAAGCATGGTTAGAGGCAGTCAGTTACAAATATATTTGACAAACTCACAGTAATATGAGAAAAACAGTGCTTTTGTACACGCATGAAAACACATACAAGCATGTGCTTTGATATACTGTAGAAGTACACAGAGTGCAGTTGCCCTTGAACGTGTGTACATCTAATCTTATCTCCTCATACTTTACAGTCGCAGCACACATTGCTCCAGCACCAAGGTTATTGACATCTGGGTAAAAACAAACCGGTGGCTGTTATTCTGGACAGCTGTGGCCCTGATATACTTTCACCCCGGGGATAAAGATTGAGGAAATGCCAAATAATAGAGAAAGTTCACACTCATGCACATTTCATAGCCAACCATTGTACATTAACAGAGTGAGATAAAGACAGCAGCCAAAGGAGATATGGGGAAGTGAGAGACGAAGAGTACAGGGTGAGATAGAATCCTCAAAAACTGACTTATTGAGTATGTATACATTATATATGTGCACCTGCCACCGGTGCTGAAGCAGCTGTTTCTGCGTACATACACATACTGTAGGCTATATTATACACAGATGCTTCCATATTGCATTAAATTCTGATACAAGACCTCAGGAAGTAGGTAGATAGGGTTCAGCGCTTTCATGTTGCATGTGTTATCCACACCACATTAACACTGCAGCATTTACGCACAATACCTGAATCTATAAATGACCTGATACTCCAAACATTACACACCAGGATGGGGTTGCAGCAGCTTTCATAAATCATTCCTCAGGTTTTACTAGTCTACTGGATGGTTTTACACTAGTGATTTACTAAATGATTAACCATTCAAGCCTAAGATATGTCCTAAGAAGATGCTTTCCAATGTAAACAGGAAGTAACTGCAGCATCCTAAGAGGTCAAACATAAGGAATTTGTTTAAGCCAGTGGTATGTTACATTTTATTGAAAATACTTGGAAATAGGTGGATCTATTTTTCAATTACAAATGAATGTATGGAGAAATGAGTGTGCTTCAGAGTTGGTATAGTAGTATTTACTCTAAAGCAAATAATATGTGAAGTTTGTGTTAATTTAATTAGATACCATTAGCATATTGTTCTGTAATTTGAGATGTATTGTGTTATTTTACGTGACATTTAATTTAAACACATTTTCAGGTTCTTTTGTCAGGTTTCTACTAGAAGATGCTCCATGCTTTTGTGTTACTGTACTCGTAATTCAAAGCTGCTCATATGTTTCAACTTAATGTAGCTTTGTCAGTCGGTTCAGTTAGACATGTAGAGCCTGGTAGGTGCTTGTTTTAAATATTTAGCAAAAAACATTTTTGTAGAACTAGATTGTGTGATTTTACCATTTTAATTTAGTGATGCGCAATCTCCATTTTGTAAACACTACAGTTATAATTAGACTAATTAGTACCTAAAAGAAGCTGGTGCATCCAATGTCCTTGACAAGTTCTGAGTAGATATACAACTGCAGATAATTCCCAAAAAGAACAAGTATAAGCATTTTTCTCATTTTACACACTACCTGTATCTATGTCCCCAGCTGTAATGCTATGGTAATAGCTTTCATTGTATGTGCAGAAGTTAAAATCGATAGCACAAGCTTCTTATCTATGCTGCAGTCTTTTTATCCGTCTGTCTTCTCCTCTTCGTTCATGAAATATCCCCGTTTCTCTGGAACATAATCCAACATCTACACTCTACATTCACATTCTTGATCCTGGGATAAGATTGAATGAATTGGTGCTAATCCACTAATCAATATCTATCTTATTTTGTCTCGTGAGCGAATCAGAATGGTTCCACTTCAGAACCAACCTGCATTGTTGGGAACTAGCGGTGGGCTGAGGAGGTTGATATTGCCGTTGGGGAGTCCACAGTTCCCCAGGCTGTTGATGAGGGGCAGAGTCATTGGCGTTGGCAGCAGGGAGTGCAGGGAGTGCATGGAGGGGTTAGCCGGGATGGGTGTTAGGCGGGGCATGGCTGACATGGAGGACAGACCAATTGACAGGTTTGGCATAGAACCCATTCCTATAAGGGGGAAACACACATGTGAACATGAACAGATCAGGAACACTGTTTCAGAAGACAGACTCAATTAAAGTACAATTTCGAAATGGGTAGCTTTTATTTCATAAAGGAAAACCCTAGCTGGTGCAAGTATTATTTGTGTCAATCAATGACTTAAACTGCCTATTATACTCTGAAAGCAACCACCATTTAGTAAAACCAGGGTCGTTTTTTATTTTTAAAATAAATAAGCCTCCCATTTGAAAGTTTTACCATTCAAATATAATTTCCCTATGTGAAACAGCACTTTTAAGAGGGTAGGTTGTGGGAGTAAGAGTTAAAATGTAATGTTTTGGTTAAGTTAGATTGAGGTTATTCAGTAATATGTTCTGATAAATCCTTACCAAAACCTGCAGATGAGCGGATAGTTGGAGCAGCATTGCAGACGGGCGTTTGCTTCATTGTGATAGGCAGGACAGATGGTAAGTTTCGCCCCTGGAGTTTGAGTTTGATCAGCTTCATAGCGATGGAGAACTCCTGTCTGTCCATCTTCCCATCGCTCTCCATGTCGGCTAGGTTCCTAAAGCAGAGGGAGGAAAAATAAAGCTGTTTAATATGATCTAGTTGTAGCAAAGTGTGCATATTCAGTTTTTTTCTTCCTTTATTGACAGTAGAAAGGACAGGGTTACACAAGGCCCTGGTAGGATTGAAATCCAGTGGCATTATTCACACCAACACCAAACCACACACACACAGACTCTGTTCTAAATACATTACACACACAGTTTTCTGGGTAGGCTGTGAAGGAAGTGAGTGCTCAACAGGAAGTAAGAAGCAGGCCAAATGAGACCAAACTCACTCTGAGAAACAATGTGGCTGGTTGTTGCTTACCAGATTTCAGCCAGGACAGGAGCAGGCAGGCCAGACTGGAGGAAGAATTTCCTAGCTTGTTCTCCTGAAGATAGACCATAATCACCGTCATTCAGAAAGACAGGCATTTCAACAATTGAACCACGGATGACACTTCTGATTGTTTGTTATGACAACAGCCTACCTGAGACATAGCCGAGGACCGGGGCGAGGGAGTCAAACTGTTTGTCGTGTTTCCCCCTCTCCTCGGGAGTAATGGCCCACACACTGGCTCCGCCTGGATAAAAACAACAAGACAAGCCTGTATTTTGAAATGTCTTTGCAATAATAATGAAGCAAGACTTTTGAAGTTGATCCACAGGGCTGCAAGACGCAAATCAAAAAATGGCCAGGTACCTTTTTTGCATTTTATACCTTTCTCTCCCCTCATGTTTCCTGTCTGTCACTGCACTTTCATACATCAGGGATATTAGGGAGAAAAAGGTTATATGATGATATCTTTTAAAAGAAAGTCAAGGGATCACCAAAGTGAAAAGATTACTCCTCTGGAGACCATGAATATCAAAGTCAACTCACAAAAGGATGATATAAACCACAACAGCATGAAATCCTTTACAAGCTGTCCCGGGCACTGCTATGTCAAAGGAACATGAGTACAAAGAGATCCTGCTTTATGAGATAAGCTGCTACTTTTGTAGAGCCCTAAAGTCATAAATATGAAGGGATCATATCTTAGGAAGAAGAATAGACAGAAAAAGCTATTTTAAAACATAATGTGTGGGCTGGGCTTCACTCCTAAACACACACAAATAGTGTGAAAAGCAGAAATGCTAAAACCAATTTCAGTATACATCGTTCTTTTTAACTTCACCAATCTGCATAATTTCCACCCCGTATGAGATTTCCCCCTTAGATGAAAACACTCTTGACTAACTCCCGACAATGATTAATGTAGAAAAATGTCCGGTCAGCTTATTTTCACTCCGCTCCACTCTTGCATATCTCAAGGTAACTTCAGGGTTGTCCATGAATTAAATATGAAGTCAAATGTGCTGTGTGAGGAGTGCGAGACTCAATTCTTGCTCGATTCCACAAGACGTCTTTAATTGAGGTGGATGAAAGATTATCATCGAAGCTGATAATCAATTAATCATAAAGGGAATCAGTGAAATTAATCAAATCATAACACGAGCAGGGTACACTTACAGCCTTCCCCTGGGTTTTTTATTCCCATACCTTGAGAGCTCTGAATCCATTTTTAATTAAAGGATTGACTATGTGGACATTGTGCAAAGATGGATCTCTACACATGACAGTAATGGAAGGACAGATATAGATAAGGACACGTGAGATAATGAATGACTACATCGTAGAAAGAGAAGGGGATTGATGTAAAAAATGGATCAATTAAAACTACAATAGCTGAGTGATGAAAGACTGTTAATTACATTAAGACAGAAGAAACAGCGGTAAAGTAGATAGTATTAGATTGAAAACAACTGAATGAAAGAAAATAATATACTTTGTCTACGAGCACTTCAGTAGCTAAGTTCCTAAACACTTCATCATCTCTGCTCGACAGATGGCTGTAACTAAAGCGATCACAGCGATACAGTCCTCAAACAAAATGTTTGCACAGTCTGTCTGGTGCAAAAATAAAGACACCATGTTGAAAATGTTTCCTTATAACAATTTGCCTTCTTTTATTATGATCTTATTATTGGTTTTAAGGTCAAATTGGTAAGCAAATGTATGATCTACCAATTAATAACAGTACAATTTGTTTGATAAAATAAATCAAAAACACTGGCAAAAAGTAGCTGAATTCAACCTCAGAATGATAAAAAGAAAACTCGGGACATGTTGTTAGAGTGAAATAATTGATCAGGACTTGTCGCAAATAATCTAATTAGAGTCTCTGATGAGAAGCACCATCAAATGAAATGTGTGTGCAGTCTACAAAAGGATGGAATCAATTGTATAGATCTCAAAGGGTCTTTTTATCCATGTAAAAAAACATTTAATAAAAATGAGGAAAAACTATGGAAAACCTTCCCAAATCTAGGTCGAAATGATATAAACATTAGCTGTCGTGTAGCTCAGTGGGTAGAGCTGGCCATTTGCTTTATATCATCCAACCTTCAACACTGTCACTTAAATACATTTTAAACTGGTTGCCCCCCCAACCAGTTTAAAATGGTTATAACCACAACAAATGTTTAAATAGACTCTATAGATGTTGGTACATTGTTATGTTACTAATTTGTTTGACAGGATTGACTGCTAAGACGTTAGGGACACAGGAAGTTGCCTCTAAACTCTTGGACTGAACAACGATACTATTATCAGGGGAGAGTACTATGGCAGACACAAATTCAGACAGTAGAAATTAGTTGAATGAAGTTGTAGAGCTCAGGACATAAACTATACTTGTAATATAGTGGCAGTGATATTGTTATTATTAAAATTATTTGTGCTATTATGGGTGCATTTCTTTATAGACCTGGTATCTAGGGTGTAATTTATTCGCCAGCCTCAGGAAATACCACCCTGCCCATGATGGAACTTCCTCCCCTGCTCTAACCCAAACACTCTTGTTGACCACAGTACACACATCCCTGAGGAATGACACAGACTCAGCAGTCCTTTATATGCAGCTAGCAGATGACATTTTAAACTATATAGTTAAAGAAAGGAAGATTCAAATGTTATAGCCGATGTTAGCCTCACTGAGCAATCACTGTTTGTTAGCAAACACTCAAAGGCTAACTGCCTTTAGCTGGTTTCGATATCTGATCATACTGCCTGGTCAGGTATATGATTTTTCCTCTGACAAAGCCAGACTTGCAGTGCCTGACCTAGTTTTGGCATTGTCAGCACAATGAAAAGGAAAAAGTAATTAATATCGCACCGAAAAGTGAGTATACTCCACATTGTCTCATTGGCTTTGAAAGACCTCATTTAGAAGCTTTTGTAAGGGGGGAAATGTGGAGCCGATATTTAGCACAGCGCCACGGGACATGTCACTAGCATGGACACATTCACAGGCCTGTCAGTAAACTCTGTTTGTGTACGGTTTATCATTGAGGACTGAATCCTCTGTGAATTAATGGGGCAAAGCCTCTTACAGAGACATGGAAGAATCAATAGGGGTCTTCTGTGGCTTGACATTTGTGCTGGAAAAAACTAACAGATATACAATGTGAGACCAGAGAAAAAATGCCAAGTAATTAAAAATGTATTACAAATGTTGATTCGTTTTTGAGGCTAATGGTTTTTAATCTGTTTTTTAAAATAACTTTTATTTGTAATACATGAAAAAAGGATTTCTTCTTCTCCTTGTTTCATTTCTTTACATTTTGGTAAAAGCCCTTTTATGTGAGAGGGTTGAAACCACTAGAACATTTGAAGCTGGAGCGAGATAACATATAGCAGAGCTTAGCATAAAAACTAAGCTAGCATGAAGCTAAGCTAGCAGTGCTAGCCCGGCTCTGCTCGGCCTCCCATATGCCCTAAAGCTCTCTTTTCAAAATATTATACATCATTTGTTTAATCCTCTCAAAGATCTGATCTGTGACCCAGCATTCTTATCTCCTCTTGTTATTTCCCCCTGTGTTTCTATTAAAATGTGGCTCATCCAGGGCTTCGCAGTAAATCCACACTGTCAAGGCTGCGACCTGGACTGTAACACTAAGAGGAACGGCTTCCTGCTCAGAAGACAAACCCAGTGAATACACAAGAGCCCTTTAGCAAATATTGAGACAGTATAACACACAGTATAAACATAGGAAAAAACTGCAGTGTACTGTCATGGAACAGCTTCCAAAGCAACAACACCTGTGCAGAATTCAAACCGACTGTACAACAAAAACAAAGAGTGTCCACCTTGTGTGGTTTAACTTCCCTTTGTTGGCCTGTGTTGTTGTCAAGGTGCTGCAGGAGACGCTGGAGCAAAACCTCCTGACACCCAGCGCCGGGCCTTCTGGGGGAAACCTCATCACTGCTCTCATAACTATTTACACATCAAACGCTTCACCTGGGGAGGAAGTCGATGTTTCAGATATGTACGGTGCATCGACAGTCTCTGCACGTCGCAGAATTTCTGTCGACTGTTGCACACCGTCCACCTGTTTGGTAAATGAACACACTAATGATTGTACAATTGCCTCATTTCAGATTCCCCGTGTTCATGATGTGCAATAGAGCAAATAGCTCAGCCTCACATACAGTATGTTTCCGTGGAGAAACTCATCACATATAATGATGTTGTGTTTCTAAATTGCGTTGTTTATCTACTGGATGGGCTTGAAGCAGAGAGTGTACTTGTGGGGGGTTGGCACTTTGTTAAAATGCCGAATTAGTCATGTGGACGAAATGCATCCGACACACACAAACACACGCACACTTTCTCCGAGGCATTTCCCATAGAAGCCCTTAAGGAGCAGCAACTACTGTTCTATGATCAAAGGCTGTGAAACAAGAGGATTAACACACACACACACACGCACACACGCACACACACACATATACACACACTATGGAGCAATACTGTCCACACCAAGGACAAAAGAGATGCATCATGTTCGAGACCGAGTACAACAGAAACAGAGCCAGTTCCCTACGCAAAAACATCCACAAGAATCCTTACGATTTGCACACAATTAACAAAACATGTTTTTTAATCTAATAATTCATTTTAATTGGAACCCTTGAGTCCGGAGTCAGATCAATATGCCATTGACGAAATCTTCAGCTGACACAACTTCATTACAGACTGAAAGAAGGAATGATGAAAGTTTAAAGAATGAGCACGACACAAAGCTGCTTATAGGAGAGCTCCATCCATTCTTTCCTTAACTATTCCCTTCAACTTCATAATTTCTACCCTGCCCACTCTCCCGAGAGTACACATTTTGCTCCCACGAAAACAAGATAAAGTGTCCTTACCATCCATGGCTGCAGGTGGAGAGCGCAGGCAGAGAGGTGAGTCCTCTTCTCAGCTGGCTAGCTCTCAGACATCTGCAGAGAAAGAGAGAGGGAGACCGATGTGAGTGTGATTGTATGTGTGTGCGCGTGTGTGTGTGTGTGTCACGGAGCAGCGAGTTGGAGTGAGGAACGCGACCATGCGTGTGTGTGAGTGAGAAAAAGGAAAAAAATTATTGGAAATGCGTGCAAAAGACAAAGAAAAAGAAAGAACCTCATCCCTGATGTTAACAATGCAAGGAAGGCAGGCAAGGCACACTGATCAGCTAACAGAGAGGGATGACAGAGCGAGGGAGGGACAGAGGAGGGGAAATAAAGAGAGAGGAGGGGGAGAAAATGACATAAAGAGGAGAGGATGAGCAGAAAAGAGGGAAGAGCAGAGATGCGGACAATGCCACCAGGGAGTAGTAGGCAAGACGGACACTTTAGGGGTACAGAGGAGGTAAAACATGACGGTGATCTGAGAGGATAGCAGCATCTATCACTGTAGGCTCTCAGGTCATAGATTTTGGTAAAAATAAGTGCTTTATTTTTTTTCACTTGATAATCTCTGTTCAACAGACATGTGTTTTAACATGTTGATTGGCTTGCTGGGAAATCCCCATTAGGCTCGCATTAGGAATATAAATACTTATTTTAGGATTAATATAAATAGCTTTTATCAGGAATATACAGATTTGTCTTGCATTTCTACTAATATAAAATTAATATTTGCCTTAATAGGTCATATTTATCTCAGGAACATAGAATAGATAGAGAATAGAATCGGAGGGATGATACCCTCTGTAATGGTCACACATGCAGAGCACACAGCACACACAGTGACATTTGTTCTCTGCTTTTAACCCATCCTAGTACCAGGAGTCTAGTACTAGGAGCAGTGGGCAGCTATTGTACAGCACCCGGGGAGCAATGGGAGTGAGGGGGGAAGGGGGATGTCCGGTGCCTTGCTCAAGGGCACCACGGCAGGGCCCAGGAGGTGAACTGGGACCTCTCCAAGTAGCAGACCAAGCTCCATTCAAGTCGGGGACTTGAACCGGCGACCCTACGGCTCACAGTCCAAGCCCCTTCCGAATGAGCCACTGCCGAACATATAAATGGTATGTAATATTCATAAGAATACAAACGTTTTTCTCAATAAGAATACAAATATTGTATTTGTATTGGTGATGTATGAATGTTTGACTTATAAGGAACTGATTAGAATAAAAACATTTATTATTGGACACATTTGTTTTAATAAAAATGAGAAGAGCTTGCCCACATGGATCTGCACTGCACACGCCACACAATAAATAATTTCCTATGAGTGTATTGACTGCAGTCTGCATCCACTGTTGTCGCCAGCCCACCTGCGGAGATTTCTCTGTGGGATCTCTGGCAGAGTCCCAGGAGGTAGAGAGGACAGATGAGGCCATGCAGGTAAACCTCCTCAATTGGAAAACGAGCTCTGTGTGTATGGGCTTTGTTTTATTTTTTCACAACAGCAACCCTGACAAATAAAACACCTCCTCTGAGTTCCATGTAGTCTTTTGTGTCCTGTCCGTTCTGATTTTAGTGCAATATTTCCTCTTTCTTTGCCTTGCAGTTGTTGTTGAATAATCCTTCAGTCGGAATTGCTACGGCAATAAACTCCCCATGTTTTTGATCATTCCTGTTTCCTACAGCTTTAAATGGAAAATGCTCACTACTTTATAGAGGTAGTTTCCCTCCGTTTTAACCCCAAGCTGAGTTTCCTGATGCTGCAGTTTCTTATTCCATCGATGTAGCAACTCTTTCAATCCTGTTCTTCAGATTCTATTAGCACCTCCACTCAGACCTGCCCTTTTATTTCCTCTGCTTCCATCCATCTAGCTAACAAGCATGGTTTCTCCTAAGCTGTGATTCCCGTCAGTTCGAAGCAATCTCCTCTCCGCTGCTTTCTCCAAATCATTGTATTTCTTTTTTACCTCACCTCACCTCACTCTATCTTTTCCATTTCAGCTCCCCTATTTTTTATTTATCCCTCACTCGCATCCCCTCTTATATGACTCCCACCCATTTTCCCCTTTTTCTCCTTCTGCTCTGGTTACAATACTCCTCCATCATTGGTTTCACTCTTTTCGTGTGAATTCCTAGAGCGGGAGACTGGTTGTTGTAGTATAAATCATTCTCTGTACATGCCAACACTGTCAATTACTTAAGAGCAATGAACCGCTCAAGTGTCGTGTGTCTGTGCATACGCTTGTATAGATAGGCTAGTGCATGCGTGCAAGCTAACACACACTGTTGTTATGGTGAACATGTTTTCAATTATAATAACAGTTCACTGTGTGAGAAGTCATGTTTATTTATCACTGCATTGTAAATTGGCATTTCAGACACTGTATCCAACCATAGTTCAGAGTAAATACTAGCTAGCATTAATAGATGTTGTGTGGCTAACCAAAGCTAATATCACTAGAACATGCAATTTCAGAGATGTGATATTTTGTGAACTTTAAATAAATGTTTACTCAACAAATTTGATTAAGTGTCAGGTCAGATTAGTCCAAAGATATCCTTTATGATCTCTTTCACTCTTAATGGGTAATTTGTAAAAAAGCTAACGACAGCAAGCTAATGTTAGCTTTGTCGGAGAGCTCAGTTAACTGTGCAACAGTCAGACCTGGCAGTTACTTTGTTTACATTTGTATCAAAAAAGTATATCTATGTTAAAATAAGTAATCACTTTTTCAATTAAATGATGCATGAAGCTATTATGATAGAACATTAAGGTTGCAAAGAGTCTAAGCTTAAATATTAGAGCTGGTGCAACCAGCTTTACACAATCATTTCATCATCCCGAGACATTTCCGCCTACTATAACCCCTGAAGAAATATCTCCAAAGAGCCCAAATGAAGCTTAGTTATAGTAGTAACCCATTGTGTGTAATATATTAAAGCGACCAACTAGATAAAGCCGGGATATTCATTATTAGTCAAACTTTATATTCCCTGAGCTGTGGTTGTACCTTTCTGTAAATAATGATGTGTGCGCCTTACACTCCCTTATGTAAACACACAACGTATGAAGGTATTTAGCAGACTCTAATCCGCCCTCATACACAAACACTTTTGTACCCTGAGGTGCATGCAGGTTTAAAATACAAAGATAGTATCTGCCTTTGGCTACATTAGAGAAGCTACCCTGTTCAAACAGGACACATCCTGGATAAAACATCACAGAATAAACACGAGGCGAAGAGCCACCCTCTACTACCAGCACCGATAACACCTTCTTCAGAAGCGCACAGTAAAATGTTTCAATCAATTTGCACCTAAATAACCCCAGTGTTTCAAAATACTTGAGCACTTCTGAATGCATTTTTGATTTGATTTAGGCCTACCTTAAAAATCAACTGCTCACATATTAGTTGCTTCAAAACATGCCGTTCCTAGCAAACATCGGAACAAACCTTTTTGAACAAATATGCACGAAAGCATCCTATTTGTTCATAACTGGAAAAACAAACACATCCATGTGTTGATGTATTTGGACCTATGTAACTTGGCCTGTGAACATTTCCATAACTCTATTGACACAGGAACAGTTTCTTGGAATTATTTATGGTGGAATCATCTCAACCATCATTTTATTTACAAAAACATAGTCCTGATTCGAGGTCCAGTGACTCTTTATGGACCTTTCAACCTGTTATTCATGAATAAAGTTCCATGCATTTGAAGGATTGGTTAATAATAATAAATTATAAGAACACAGACTGAAGTTTAATGATCTGAGAATTGCTGCAGCCTTGCCTACGCAGTAACAGGAGTACCGTGGGTACTCTGCTGTGTGCGACTGAGAACTTGAAGGTGGCACAATGCATTGTGGGTGGGCTGCCAATAGGGGTCCACACCAAATGTCTGCCCTTGAGCCCCCCAACAGGGTAATCTGGTCATGCATGAGTACTATCTCAAAATGAATGAAAAAACAACATGGGGTTAGGATTATTTTGTCAACATTCTATTCAATGGTTAAACATTGACAGTTTAAACTCATTGCTTGTTGATTGTTGTTATGTGAATTCTAAATGAGGCTGAAAATAGTACTTCCTTTGCGATGCAGTACCAAAAGCCCAGATATCGTTCTTCCTCTATAATTGATGGTACATTCATGTTTCGAATATTATATGTAGCACTTTGAAAGTTTGTGATTAGGGGAACATTATGAGTCACTTGAAGGGCCAGCGGTTTGCTGACAAACTGCACTGAGGGAGAAATTGAATCAAAGAACCTTTGACTCTGCGCTGCATGCTGATTGACACCTGTGTGCGCCACACTGGCCCGCTCGGATGTGCGTATCAATGCTTCAGCCTGTGTGCACAAGTGTGTCTGACACACACTCCTCAAACAGAGGGGGACCCTGTTCTAGCAGACACAGCCCAGGAAGCTTAGCTGAGCCTGACGAAGAAAGAAGCCTGTGTGTGTGTGTGTGTGTGTGTTTGTATTTTCTGCCTCACAAGAGCACAGAAACACACAGACAGACACACACACACCTTCCTCAGCTGTGCTGCAGGTGAAAATCGGGGACACTTCCACCAGAATAATTATATTTATCCCCTTTGATACATTTATGGGTCAGCTGGAGCAATGATTCACCAAAGCCTCTGTACTTCCTTAACACTTCAAACACACACTCACTGGCATGGCCTGCCTCAGCTTCTTACCTATGTACCTATGGCAAAAAAATGTCTATCTGGATTTGGACGTATAATGCATAATTAACACTGTGGCTGTCACATGAGACTGGGCCCATAAAGTCATCAAGCTCCCACTTTCAACAAAACAGTGAATAATGTTTGTTCGTGTTTACGTCTGTATGTGTGTGTGTGTGTGTGTGTGTGTGTGTGTGTAATGCTTTGTTTCTTGGCAGGTGGATGTGTGAGAGTCCCTGCTGGGATAAGGCCAGATGTCATTGGGAGCTGCAGTTTAAATGGACTTTGCCCACTTCAGCAAAGACAAGCCTCCTCTTTCTGTTTTTACTGAGAGCAGCAGGACACACAAACTAACTCGCATGCACACTAAGCAATCTCTATAATTAGTCTATACTGCAGTGAATGAGCATGGATAAGCTAAACTTGCCCAAATCACATTATGGACCAATATAACTGAAATTATGTAAAACAATGCAAACATCTGATAAGTCCTTTACATTTTATATGCTTTAAAGTCTCCTCTATGGGGAGATCCAGTAATATCCTGGACTAAAAAAAACTAAACCAAAAAGAAAAGCATTCATCACATCACATACTCACTTGATAGTGTCACTGGCAATGTGTAATATTGACAAGAGAGGCAATTTGCAGTAGATAGCCCTTTTTGCCCTTTAATGTTTAATTATCATTACATGGGATATTGTTAAACTGTAGAAATGCATTTGAGCATATTAAGAGAAAAATATAACGTCTGACACTCTTTCTTCTTCTTCCCATATGGTGTTTTCTTCATCTAAAATGCAAACAAAAGGCTATCACTCAGGGTTTAGAGAAATGTGTCAGGATTATTTTAGTGTGTGCAATCTTTAAAATTCTAATTTTGGCTACATGTTTGGCTTACACTGTCTCGCCTTTTACATTTTGTGTTTAATAAAGCAGGACATCCAACTTACCTTCCCAGAAAAGGTGAGGGAAAAAGCAAGGTCAACAGCGGTAGTGTCCAGTGTGTGCTACATGTTATCCTCTCCTGGTTCCTGGTGATTTACCTGTTGCGGTAGAATATCTGCGGTGATCCGGCATCCAGGCTGGCAAATCTGGCTGCAGGAGAGGGAGGAACTGATCCAGCAGCCGGGGCGGGGTGGACTTGAAATGGGCGTCTCAAGATTCAATCCACACAGCGTTACGTTTCGGACTTCCGGATGTGATTTTCACAATAAAACCCCTTGTCGCTCCTCATATGGCAGTCTTCAGGTTTTGATAAACGCATGTAACAACAAACAATAAAAAACGTATACGCAGAGGTGGGAAGTCACTAAGTACATTTACTCAAGTACTGTACTTAAGTACACCTTTTAAATACTTGTACTTTACTTTAATATTTCCAGTGTATGCTACTTTGTTCTACTCCAGTAGAATTCAGAGGAAAATCATGTACTTTTCCTCCCATACATTTATTTTTAACCTTTAGTTACTATTTAGACTTAGATTAATTATGTGAAATATAATCAGCACTTAAACAAGACTTTAGTTTCACCTGAAGTAAATTCACAAACTACCCTGCAGTGTACAACGTGATTAAAACTAGCTGCCCCTTTGCCAGCTTTGATTACACTTGAATGCATCAATAATTATAATCGAAACATATGATATAATATGATTCGGAAATGGACCAATTTGCATAAGTACTTTCACTTTTGGTACTTTAATATTTTCATGCCAATATTTTTACTTGAGTTACATTTTGAATGCAGAACTTTTACTTGTAACAGAGTATTCCTACACTCTGGTACTTCTCCTTTAACTAAAGTACAAGATCTGAGTACTTCTTCCACCTCTGCATCCCTATTCAATGTTATATCTTTCCCTCTGATTATTGGATGTTTATGGTATTGTATGTTCTTTATGTTAAAACCAATACAATATTTTAAATACAGGATCATTTAAACAACAAAAAACCCTAAGAGATGAAACCAGTGAAATTAGATTTTTACTTTCTTTCATCTTTAACTTGAAAAAATACACCTGGGATTCAATTACATACTTTACCAAAGTATAACCATCTATATTTTTCAAGTAAACGTTAAACTGTTAAACATTGTATGTGCTTTATTCACACGTATTACTGATATGCAAAGTGTTTTAAAATGGCTTTGGCTAAAGTTGTACAATATGTTGTAAACAGACCCTTTCCATCATTTCCTTTTTCCCCCATTTGGCCTATGTGATGAGTGAATCCAATGGAATGAGATGCAGATATCTGTAGTTAGTAGCATCTTTCTGGTGTATAAGCTGTGTAGAGTGTGGAAGGCCTTTGCTGCCCCTAAAGGAAACTAAAAGAATGCTGCTGGTGTAGGGCACCAGCTTCAGCCTATTTTATGTATTACATCAACAAGTTAACTGTCATAACCTCACTCAACCTAACACTTGTATTGCTTGAGTTCAGGATATGATATTATTTAAAATAAGACATTGTGTGTTAAATACTCTTAAAAGCAGTGATGCTCAAATATGAAAGATCAGAGAAATTTACACTAAGCAAATAAGTCATAAACCTATCCTATATAGTACGTGTTCATTGGAATTGAAAAGAACAAAGAAGTAGACAGGATGCATGAACATTCTTTATATCAAACATGTGTGGTGAAATCAAAATGAAAAACAAACTAATCCATCAAGATACAGGTATTTTTTCCTTTCTACATTGTTGTTGTATTGGCAGATTTATGAATAAAGTACTAACACTCATCTTCACCAATTTACACCACCACTGAAAAAATAATAATATACAAAATCTTGAAAATGTCACTCATCAAATCTTTTTGAAAAATAGAGAAAACATAAAAATAGAAACAAGAAATATGGACATATGAACAAAATGCCCAAATGAAGGAAAACAAGAATAGAATGTTTAAGAATAAAGCACAATAATCTTCTTTCCGCCAAGTAAAGTTAAGCGTCAGGATATCCAAGTTCACATTTTTACACATTTGGAAATTACCAAAAGTGGGCCACAGGCAAAAAAAAAAAAAAAAAAAAAGAACAATTGTTCATGCTTCACAATGCTTCAACATATAATATGTAATAGCCCTATGCATTTAAACACTTTAATCATACATCAATATTTGTGGACACTTTGAGTCTTTGTATTTACATTGAGATATTTAAAGTATACATTACAGCAAGACATTAAGACATTATTGCAAGATCATCAAGTTCATTCTACACCAACAATTAATACATTTTCATTACAATAAGGCAGCTAATGGCATTTCTAATGAAAAACACACATACCATTTATGTTAACCCTGGTAGGTAACCCTGGTAGATGCCTGCTGCACTTTCATTGACCACCATAATGGTATAAGTCAACAGGCACATTATCTTCCTCTTCTTTGATTAATGTGCTCTCATTGCCATGACCTATTATAACCATGGAGTATTCCTGGGATTCTTCTGTTTCCACTGGGACTGAATACTCAACATTTTCAAACTCCCATTCTGTATTTAAGTTACAAGCTGTGTTTGGATGTGTAACGGACCCTTGTGGTGCAGCCAGGATGTAATACTGGACATTCTCATGTTCTGGTTCTGTTTTGCGTCTTTCAGAATCTGGCAATGCAGTCATTAACGTATATCCAAGGGCTCCTGTAGGTTCACCTGGGACAAAATGCGCAACGCCCTCAGGGTTTGACTCCGTTTTGACATCATCATGAAGAGGACAATATTTTTCCTCTGTGTCCGGTTTTGGTTTTATATTTCCATAACATGGATGCCACTCCTCCTCTTTGATTTGTAAGTTTCCCTGGAGAGGACTGCCACAACCATCACCCACTTGGTTCCCATTGTTTTGGACAATCTTCCTAGGATCTCTTTGTACCTTTGTGCCATCACGAAGGATCCAATCTTTTGTTTTGTAGCCTTCGAGAAAATGGACACAATTAACACCTGAATGGTATTTCACTTGGCGCACAAAACGACCAAAGAGCTGACATTGCTTATTTTGGCTCTTCTCTAGATGACTTTGTGAAGCATCGGAAGCAAATAGAAATGGCAATTCGAAGATCTTGTTTGCTTTTACCTTACTGCATCTGTATTTGTCATAACCTCTGAGCATGGCTTGGACTTTGGTCGTTACAGCTATTGAAAACTCCCAGCTTCTTTTATGTTGGGAGCTAATATCAAAGTTATAGTCAAGGATGTCATACCAAGTGCTTGGCAAATAGTGTCCTTTATTTGTTTGTGTATATTTATTTATCTCCGACACTACAGCTTGGGTCAATAGCCTCAAGTGCAGTTTTTCTTTCTTTCCGGATTTTGTTACATCCAAATCCAAACCTATCTCCGTGCAATTGGGATAACGGATCACCTTACTGCACATTGTATTTTTCTTTTTTCTCTTGTAATGTATCTTGTTAGGATTATCACTTGTCATTGTGTCTTTTTCCTCCTTTGTTTGCAGTGCCAGCTTTCTTTTTTTAATAGCCTCCCTCCATCCAGCACCCTGAATCTGATCTTGCGGAGGCGATTTACGAATTGGAAGTTGTCTCTGAGAAGACTGAAATGGAATTTCAAAGACCTCATTAAACCAGTCAGGCCCACCTTTCTTTTGGGCTAAAGAGTAGAACAAACGTGCAGGACTTGTCCCCTGCAAGTCAATGTTAAAGTTGTGTTCAAGGATATCAACAATGATCTCAGCCTTTGTTCCACACAATGATCTGGCAAAACCAACCACTTCCAACATAATTCCGCGAGTCAGTACATTGGTGTCAAGTTTATCTCTTGCTTGGTCTTTGTCAACAAACAGGTTCAAACCTGAGTTCTTGCAAGCAGGAAAGTATTCCACTATCATCTCCTCTATTGCAGAGAAGGAAGAGGACTGAACCTTTTCAGGCTTTGGTGCTGTGCAGTTTGCATCCCCAGAGACAGCGTCCGCCATGGTATGTTTAGCTGGATGATGCATGTGACTAGGGTTAGAGTCATCCTGACAAGTCTTATGACTTCTTTCTTGAAAGCATTTGGGGCAATATTTTGTAGGATTTTGTAGGCATATCAAGCCAGGCAGTTCAAAAGGCTTATTCACAAAGTGCATTTTCATCCCATTTACTTGGTATATGTTTGTCCATAGTTGCTGTTTATAGGCCCCGCGATACAGTTCATTTTTTAAATCAAGAGGAAAATTATACTCCAATATCTCTGTGACGAAGTGCTTTTGGTCTGATATCAGTGCTGTGGCAAACGTATTCAATTCAACCATGATGCCATTGGTCAGTGATTTTGGGTCGAGATTTAGTTTTTCTCCAGATCCTACATTGAAATCAATGCCTAATGTCCTGCATCTAGAGTAAGAATATAATGGACAATGTTCAGTATGAGGTGTTGAGAGAATTTGCTGTATACGATTTTCCCGCACTTTCCACAGCTTTAAATCTAGTTCATTTTTCTGTTCAACCGCAGAACTGCCTACTTCTTGGTTTGTGATAGCAGTATGGGACGAACCAGCACTACATCCATCTGTATTAAGGTTGTTCTTTAATTTCAGTTTCCCCAATAGATGTTCTTTTCCTAGGTTCTTTGGTCCCTTGAAGGGTTTCACATAGAGTGTTAGATTCCTTTGCTCCACTGTAGCATGGATTCGGGCAACAATGCTTCTGGCAATGTCAGGATCTCCACTTTGCAAATGAAAATCGAAGTTGTGTGTAAGAATGTCAAGACAAATCTGCTCAAAAGTCCCACACAACTTTTCTGCAAAGTTTGTCACTTCAGCCACTGATCCATTTGTCAGTTTGTTGATGTCCAGTTTTTTATTTGGTTGATGATTGTTAACATTTAACTTCAGACCTATTTCCTGGCAGAAGGGATAGATATCTACACCCTTCTGTGAAAAATGTTCTGAAGTTTTAGCTTGTGAATGAGTTGGGAACCCGGGAGCAACATCACACTCTTCCATTTTCAATATGTTGCCGAGTTGAGGTTTTACATTGCCCATACCAGGGAGAATAGGAAGTACACAAATCTCATTTGAGAATTTGATCGCATCTTTAGAATTTTCCAGCATTCTCACTCGATTCATAATTTCCAATGTGAATATGTTTCGCTGGTCTTCACTCTGCAAGCCGAAATTAAAGTTGTGTTCAAGAATCTCCATGATGAAATCCTGCTTGGAAGAATTCATTGCTAAGGCAAATTTTGCAACTTCAAGCAGATGAGCGTCTCGCAAATTGTCAACCCTAATATTTTGCTTTGCACCAAATCCAACATGGAATTCAAGACCTAATTTCTTTGAGTTGTTGAATGGACCAAACTCGAATGTTGAGAGGATTTTTCTTGCACGGTTAGCACGCAACTTCCACAAGTTGTTCTCCGTTTCCATTTCTTCTTGTTTCACGTCACATTTGTTTGGTGTATTTCTTGAAGTTTGTGTTTGCACTTCAACTCCAAAACACCCTCTTTCCATTGGTTGATTAGCAAAGGGTGGGTTAAGGTTTGAGTTCTCCGTTTCCATTTCTTCTTGTTTCACGTCTGACTTGTTTGGAAACATTTTTGGAGTCTGAGATTCCTCCTCAACTCCACAATGCCCTCCTTCATTATGTTGACTGTATGTCACAAGTGGTGGAATCACATTTAAGTTATCAGTTGGTAAAGTGGATACAATGTAATTGGTGTTGAGGAAAGGCACATGAAGACAGTTTGATTCTGGTTTTCTAGGAATGTCGTAGCCGAGAGAACTTTTGGGGTTTTGTGACTGATTCTGTTTGCAAAAGTTTCCTGAATCTGTGGCTTTGTCCAAGATTAGTTGAGATGATCCCAGGGGATAAGAACAGTTTCCCTCTGTTCCCATTACTTCTTGTTCCATGTCACATTTTTTGCCAGAGTCTGAGTCTGAATCAGACTTTACTACAGGACAAGTGTGACAATGATCTCCCTCTGCTGTAGTAGTGCTATATAAATGAGTGTGATAAGAGAGTGTGTTTGTTTCCATGTCTCTTTTGCGCCTTTTGATTGCCTGTTTACTTTTTAAATCAGACTGCCTTCTTTTTGTCACTTCCTTAAACTGATATTGCGGAGCTTCCATATCAGACAGAGCTGTTTCTCTGTGTCTTTTGAAGGGATTTGTCTGGAATGAAAACGGCTCAGTTTTAAACTCTGGGCTTATTTTGGTACCAATGTTGAGAAATCTCGTTCTTTTCTTCAGCAAGTGCGATATCTTGAACAAAGCTTGATTTTTTTCTAGTTTACTTTTTAGATCAAGTTCAAAATTGTGCTCCAAAACATCCAGAACAATAGGGCTGTAGGATGCAGTGAGAATTCTGGTGAAGTGAATTAACTCTAACATTATGCCCTTTGTCAGCAAACCTGGCTCTAGACTTTGTTTTGACCCAAAATCAAGGTTCAGACCAATTTTCTCACAAAAGGGAAACAACTTGGAAAAATCATCATCTTTTTGTTTCTCTGCTGACTGTGCTTCTGAAAACTTTAATTCATCTTCATAGTCACTGTCATCACTTTGTGCCCTATCCATCACTTCCAAGAGACTTTCTGCATTAATGCAATCTTTGGATGTTGCGTGTGAACACTGCAATTCATCTTCATGTTCCCAATCATCAGTGTCATCCGTCTCCACCAGGATACTTTCAGTCTTATGCTTTGTGGATGCCATGTTCGGTTCATTGCTGCTCGAGCATTCTGGATTACATGGTGTGTCAAAGAGAGTGAAAACTTCATTTTTATCTTTAGGTTTCCCAATCAAGTTTTTAACTTTGCGCATAATTCGAGATGTAAAATCAATCCGCTGTTGATCATTTTCCAAATCAAGATTGAAATTGTTCTCTAAAATGTTTGTGAAAAAATGCCTTTTACTCTTGTTTACTGTTTTAGCAAAGTCACAGACCTCAAGTATGACTCCATTTGTCACTAAACCTATATCCAGTTTTTGATGGTTGTTGGATGCTACATTAAAATCCAATCCAATTCTATTGCTGCACTGGAAAGGTTCTGGATGTCTTGAATATTTGTCTACACACATAATGCGCCACTGCCATACTTTGTTGGCATCCATCTTTTTTCTTTTTTCTTCATACAGCAGTTGTCCTTGTTTTCCCATCTGCAGTGAATTCACCTACTGTTCTTCTTTGCCTTGTATGTTTTCTTTTCCTGTATTTAGTTAGAAAAAAGAATGAAATTATATAAAAATGAATCACACTATTTTTTAACCAAAGTATTAATTATATAATATGTATCAGACTAAAATACCAGATATCTGACACTAGATATATTAGACCCTTAGCTTCTCAAAGTACTCTGGTTACTTGTGATAGGCATTAGGCAATATCTTTGACATAATGACCATTTATTTTATTTCTTTAGATAAAAGGGATTTGCCAAGCAGCATGTTTAGTGGCTAATGTATTTTGATTCATCTTATAACTGTGCAGCTCATTTAAAATTTGAATATTTTGGACATATTGCAGATATCTTTATAGTATTTGTCATATTTTAATTTAATTTCTTCTACTATCATACATTTTTTTGACTATGAGGGGCATTTTCTTGTACAGTAAATGAATACCAACTTTTCAAAAAACACAATTCTACTTGCAGCAAATTTAGATAAGATTTAATCTTGCTACATACCTTGTAAGACATTCATCTTGAATAAAAGCTCTTCCAAGTTTTCTAGCCCACACTGAATGTCTGCTTCCTATGTGGTCATCCTCCAGACAGCAACGAGACTCTTCTGGTACAGTGCTACCATGGATGAAAAAAACATTTAAAAACATGTTTAACAGTGGTGAAGGAAGTATTCATAATTATTCCTTTGGTAAAAGTTGTACAATTACAATGTGGAAACACTCTGTTACAAGTTGGAACCCTGAATTCAAAATGTAAAGAACTAAAGTATAGGCAACAACATATACTCAAAAGTACTCCAAGTTACAGTACTTATTAAAATCAAAACATTATAATACTGGATAAAAATAAGTGATTCATTAGCATGAATTCATTAGCATGAATCCATCAGCGATCGGTCATCGGTCTACTAATGTTAGAAGGAACAACAAAAAAATCTTGCATGTAGGCAGAGGTGGAAGAAGTACTCAGATCTTGTTCCTAAGTAAAAGTAGAAATACCAAAGTGTAAGAATACTTCTACAAGTCAAAGTCCTGTATTGCAAAATGTTACTCAAGTAAAAGAATAACACGTGTTGGCATCTAAATATACTTAAAGTATCAAAAGTAAAAACACTCATTATGCAGATTGGCCAACTTCACACTCCTAATCGTTTTGATTATAATTATTGATGCGTTTATCAAGCTGGTTAAGGTGGCACTAATTGTTCTTCAAATCTTTATTCTTCAACTTATTTCGACCAATGTTTGCCGTTTAACTCCTTCAGCATACTTTCAGCTACAGAAACCATTCAAATATTAAAATGTTCAGCTCCTTCAGGACATGACTGCTATGACTTCAGGGCTCGACAGTAACGGTTGCCAGGTTGCCATTGGCAACCATTCAGAACAAATGTCAACCACTTCTTGGCCTTTGGTTGCCATCAGTGGCAACCAGTTTTTAACATAAAGAAATAAGGACAGCAAACTGCAAAATGTGCACCCCAAAATATATAAATGTTAATTATTTGTTGTATTAAGAGTGATATTTAATTATTTTTGTGACCAGTCGGAACCTGATACTAAAGTTGCACGTGCATTGGTGTGATTACGGAGCCAGAAAGCGATGCACGTTTACTCGCGTGCGCGGTGCGCCGTGGGTGTTTCTCAATCGCGAGTAAAGCTGCTTCAGAGCCACTATTTCAAGCATACTACGTCATCGAGTGCCGCCGAAGTACTGTTCCAATCTCCAGCATACTTGGAAATCTACCGAGCCCGGCGTACTCCGTTTGGAGAAATATCGAGGCTGCACATGAGTAGACTCCGCGGTCTTAAAATCCCCACAATGCTTTGCGCACGGACCAGTTTCCCCAAATCTGTGGCGGAAGATGTAAGGCGGGGCCTCTCATATGACGCACACCTGCACACTTGCTAGCGTGTTCCACACTTCGTTTTTCCGAATGCCAGGAAGTATTCTTAACTCGCTTCTGAAGCAAGATGCTCGGCAGACATGTGCTACCAAGCAAGCGTACTCGCGATTGAGAAACACCCCGTGTGTTTTTTTTACAAAAAATGGCGAAGCAAATTAAGTAGTTTGACTGGGGGGTAAAAAGTTCGGCCAACCCGTCAACATCTCAAACGAATGTTCAAAGTGATTCAACTGATAAAGCGCAAGGTGAACCCGAACGAAAAGCAAAGAGGAAACGGGAAAAGTCTTGGGAGGCGAAACATTCTGCTCCGTTGTCCATTCACTTCCGGTAAAAGTTCCTTCAAAATAAGAGTCTCGATCTTATACTACCAAAATTAAAGTGCAAAACGAAACTTTACAATAATAATAATAATACATGAGACTTGTATAGCGCTTTTCAAGAAACTCAAAGACGCTTTGACAGAGAATACAAAAAAATACAAAAAAAAAAAATACGAAAAGAGATAAGCAAAACAGAAAATAGGGGGGGGGGGGGGGGGTGGTCAGTGGTTGAATGCAGTGTTGAACAGGTGGGTTTTGAGTGATGTTTTGAATGCTGTGAGGGAGGAAGAATCTCTGATGGATTGTGGTTGTGAGTACCAGAGGGTGGGTGCAGCAACGGAGAAGGCTCTGCCGCCCCAGGACTTGAGGTTGGTCCGGGTGGGGAGGGACAGGAGGTTGGCACTAGCAGAGCGGAGGGAGCGAGTGGGAGTGTGTCTGTGGAGGAGGTCAGTTAAGTAGGATGGGGCCAGGTTATGGAGGGCTTTGTATGTCATTAGGAGGATTTTGTACTGAATTATCTGGGGGATGGGGAGCCAGTGGAGCTTGATGAGGACGGGGGTGATGTGTTCACGGATTTGGGTGTGGGTGAGTAGACGGTACAATAGGAAAATATTGGCATAAAAATATAATAACTTCTATAAAAAGGTAACACATTTTAAATATAGTTAGACATTAAAAGGTAATTTACAGCATTAATAATTAATATCTAATTCTTAACTGTGAATGGTTTTAATTTATTTAACATTAGAAATGTATTAGTCCGGCCAATCCAAGACTTCAATGCTGAAGGGCCAATGGATCTATGGTGGGGGTCAGCACAAAGGTCAGGAAAACCCACATTTGAAAGGGAGACGACCAAGAAACTAGTGACTTGCTCAATTCATTTGTGGATCTGTGAAGAACATGACAGCAGCTGCACAACTGGTATTTTGTATACCAGCAGTTGAGGGTGGACAAGTTTACTACCACTTAAGTTTCAAATAATTGTGTTAATTACTTATTGTAAAGCATTTAAACCTTCTTTTGTGTCACATGTTCATTATTAAGTTGATGTATAACTGTATAGTATCTTAATTATTTAAAATATAAGGTGACTAAAAATGGCAACCGTATTTTCAGTTTTGGCAACCAAAAGCTGATGCCTGGTTGCCAGGCTGGCAACCACTTTTAAAAGTTAGCGTTGAGCCCTGGACTTGTAACCTAATAGGAGGAACCTTCAAATCCTCTTTTACCTACACCATGCGCAAAATGCTACTGCTTCCACATACTTTCAGCTAGAGACTTCGTTCCAACTTTAAAACGGTCACAAGACATTCAGCTATTAAACTTATTCTTCAGATTTTTGATATTTTGTACACTTTTTGAGATATTCAACTTAGTTTGGAGCTTGGTAAAGAGGCCTTCTTCAGATTTTAACATTAGTGTGTATTGCGCAGCTCGTTAAGGGTTACGGTACGTCTACACAGCAGCGTTAAAAAAATCTTGGAGGTGGGCGTATCTGAAGCTTGAGGATATTTTGCGAGCAACCAATCACATGAATCTCCCGCCCACGACATACGAAGCAAAAAAGCCCGAAGTAAACTGGATATAAACTCCCCAAAACAGGCGAAAACCTACCACTGTCTCTGCCACCTCCCTCCATGCCTGGCTCCTCCGGTTTGTATCCCGGTAGGTCTGGTCATAAAGCACCGGGTGATTGATTCGCTACCGCTAATTTCTCCTCCATTTTTTGGAATATGAGGAAATGACCTGCGGTATGTCTCTCCCAGCATACACGCCGTTTGATTGGCTAGAGCTTGAACTGCCAGATTTGCGTACACGGGATTTGATTGGCTGCCGCTTCCACCTCAGCTTCAAAAGTTGAACATTGTTCAACTTTGAATCTTGAAAATCCTGAAAATCTCCGCTCGCCTGCCCACAATGCATTTCGGCGAAAAGTGAGGGAAAGTGACGTCACCCCATTCAAAGTGAATGGGCAGAAGCGTTTCAAGATTTTTTTAAAGCTGCTGTGTAGACGTTCCGTTAGAGTGCGTGGTGTCACAGCTAGAGTGGAGGAGAGCTTGAAATTCGCCTTCAACCTTTTTCTTCAACCTGCCATAACTCCCAAACCCTACACTCCTTGGACATAATTGTTCATGAAAAACCTCTCTTACGTTAAAACAATAAATACAAAATTAAGAAAAAAAATGTGAACAAAATAAATTCAGCCTCATCTTTCATGACAGCACCAGCTGCACACCTTTAGTTAATCTGCCAAAAAAGCCACATTATTAACCCGAAAGTACACAAAAAGCAGACTGAGACACTCCTCAGGGTCCTGACATTCTCCACGCGTTGACATCTTACCGATAGCTGCTACGGTTTTCAACAAAAGTTAGAAATGTAAGAGGTTTATTTCTCATTCAGAACAATGGAAAGGCTCTCCTTTTACTGATCTGCACATCACCATGGTAACCTCTGATCTCTGGGCTCACACACAAGTGTTTGATAACGTCGTCACCTCAAACACAAACACACGGGGTGTTTCTCAATCGCGAGTAAAGCTGCTTCAGAGCCACTATTTCAAGCATACCACGTCATCGAGTGCCGCCGAAGTACTGTTCCAATCTCCAGCATACTTGGAAATCTACCGAGCTCGGCGTACTCCGTTTGGAGAAATATCGAGGCTGCACATGAGTAGACTCCGCGGTTTTAAAATCCCCACAATGCTTTGCGCACGGACCAATTTCCCCAAATCTGTGGCGGAAGATGTAAGGCGGGGCCTCTCATATGACGCACACCTGCACACTTGCTAGTGTGTTCCACTCTTCGTTTTCCGAATGCCAGGAAGTATTCTTGACTCGCTTCTGAAGCAAGATGCTCGGCAGACATGTGCTACCAAGCAAGCGTACTCGCGATTGAGAAACACCCACAGACTGGAGTTTAACAGACTGTCTCAGCCTAGGGCTGCTCGATTATGGCAAAAATCATAATCACGATTATCTTTGGTCAATATTTATATCACAATTATTAAAAACGATTATCCATTGACTTTGAAAACATCTATTTATTGAACTTTTGAAAAAAAATGTGGACAGTATGTTTTTAACAGTTGATTACCCTGAACTTTAAGTATAATTCAACTGAAAAACCAATACAAAAATGAATTAAATAAAGAGTACATTTAAATAAATATAAAAATAATAAACACCAATAAAGAAGATCAACAAATATTTGAGCGCACTTCCACAACCTACTAAACATATATAAATATGATAACTAATGTCACTCACAACCTGTAATGTTTAATTATACTGCTACACGCAGTACTCTTATTTTGGTAACCCCTTATCCGGAAACCGGAAGTAGCGAGCTACGAGGTTCCGGCTTGACGAGGTTAGTAAAAGTAT